GAGTAGGGTCGAGCATGACTCCCAGCAGCTTCAGGGTATCTGTCTCCTGGAGTGCTTCACCTCCAAAGGTGCCTGGTGGAGTGCAGGGGGGAACGTGCTTGCGATGTAGAGTCATGCGCTGTGTCTTGGCTGGCTCAAAACAGATACGCCACTTGCGGCCCCACTCCTCAAGACTGTTGAGGGACCCTTGGAGGGAGGCGGTGGACTGTTGGAGATCGTCAGTTGGCTGTACTAAGCTGTAGAGTGTGGTGTCGTCTGCAAAGCTGCTCAGCTGCGTTCCTGGAGTTAAACATTGTTCAATGTCACAGGTGTATAGAAGGAAGAGGCTGGGTCCTAGGATGCTGCCTTGGGGGACACCAGCCTGGATGGGTTGAGCATCTGACGTCTGGCCTCCAACCACAACGCGGATGTTTCGGTTGGTGAGGTAGTCCTGTAGCCATACAAGCAGGCGTCCGTCGACGCCGGCCTGCTTTGCTTTGTACAGCACTCCTGTGTGCGATACCCGGTCAAACGCACCGGCAATATCCACGGCGAGGACCTGGACACAACCGCCAGTACTTATGGTGTGGACCCATTCATGTTGGAGAGCCGTTAAGATATCTGCGGTTCCTCTACCACGTCGGAATCCAAACTGGCTGTTTGGCAACACCTCATGCTTCTCTAGGTAGTTAACCAGTTGCGTGTTTACAATGCCCTCCATGACTTTCGACATGATCGTTAGCAGTGATATTGGTCGGTAGTTAGATGCCAAAGATCTGGAGGACCGTTTGTGAACTGGGACTACATGGGCAAGTTTCCATGCCCCAGGTTGCACACCGGCTAAGAAGCAGAGGGCGAAGAGCTTTGCCAGTGGGTCTGCAAGTTCAGATGAGCACATCTTGAGCACACGAGCAGAGATGCCATCCGGTCCAGTTGCTTTTGATACAGCCAAGTTCGCCAAGTGCCGTTTGACCGTTGCTGCGCGGAAGTGAATGTGCTTTAGCGTGGCATAGGCAGGTCGTTGCAGGTCAGGCAGGTCAGCAGCACAGAGGTCGTTATTGCCAAGGCTACACTTGTTCGCAAAATGCGCTGCAAAGCACTCGGCTTTCTCACGAGAAGAGTGGAACTCTTGTCCTGCAGGGTTGGTCAGCAGGGGGATGTCAGAGCAACGTCCCTTGCCTGTTGCGCTCTTGATGGTTGACCACCACTCTTTGTCCCGGAGGGAACCTGCAGTAAGCTTGTTGCGAATTCTACGTTGATGTGCTAATCGCGCTGCATGACACGCTTCCACTTCGTGGTTAACAGTTGTGATGTACTGGACCTTGTGGTTATCGTTGCGGGGATTGCGTCGCCACAGCTTCCATGCCCTCTCCTTGGCATGATTGGCGTTAGAACAGTCCGGTGTCCACCATACAGGGTTGGATTGGTGCACCACAAGCTCTTTGGATGGTATGAACTGTTTCATTCCATGCATGATGACATCAGTTACGCGCTGACAGGACTGCTCCGCACACCCATGGATCTTGGCGGGCCAGTCTATGTTGCGGAGGTAGGCTCTCAGGCGGTGCCAGTCAGCAAGGGCGTATTTCCAAACCTGTCGAACAGCAGGATCTTCGCGTCGTGGATGCTGTTGGAGAAACTCGGCAATGATAACGGCATGATCAGATCGTCCAAGTGGTGCATAGGCTGTGGTGCATACGGGGTGTGGGAAATCGGAGATGATAAGATCGAGAGTATTGTTGCCGCGGGTTGGCTGGGTGACATGCTGGACAAGATGATGTGCTGCGCAGACTTCCTCCAGGCATTCACCGGCTCGGGTAGTCTTGCTACTCTGTAGCCAGGCTGAATTATGCACGTTGAAGTCCCCTGCAATTATCACATTGCTGCCAAGACGGCGGACATCATCCAAAGTGTTGTCTAGGTAGTCCATCAGGCTGGTGTCTGTCTCTGCACAAGAGCCAGGCCGGTAGAGCGCACCCAGAACAGTCTTTGTTCCGGAGTGCATTGCCAGGGAAATCCATAAGAGCTCGTGATCACGGCAATCTATATCGTCGTGGTGGGTAATGGATAGTTCACTCCTAGCCCACACTGCCACACCGCCACCATGGGCATCTCGATCCTTCCTTATAGGGGGTGAGTATCCTGGGATGGTCAACTCATGGGAGGAATTATCTGAGCAGAGCTTCGTTTCTGTTACTATTGCCACGTCTACATTATACTGCAGGATTGCATGCTGCAGGGCACCTATCTTGTTGCTCAGGCTGAATGCATTAGTCACTAGCAGTCGCAGAGGTCTGGAATCCATCATTGGGCATGAGAGGACTGGGCATCCTGCTGGGGTGGCTGCGCATCATGCTGGTCATGTTGTGGCGCAGATCCGTTTGATCTCTTCAGGTCTCCAGCCTCTGGTGGGGAGAGGTGGGAGTTTCTCCGTTTTTGGCCACTGTGTAGTGGAGTGGAGATGAAGTCTGCCGGTGGTGGTGGCGGCGGTGGTGGTGGCGGCGGGGAGGAGGAGGACGTTGAACCCGGCTGCTGTTGTTGCTGTTGCTGTTTAGTCAGAACACTGGCAGAGGTGCTGTTTCTGCTGCTGTGGCCTTCCCCTCCTTACGTTATTTCTATAACTTAGAGCCTTCCAAGTTGGAAGGCTGTTGGAGTGCGCATCCAAGATGTGCTAGAGCTGTTAGCCAGTTAGTTGTAGAACGTCAGTACCGTCGGTCAGTGCAAATACCAGGCAAATACCAAAAGCTTAGCACAACACTCCAGACCACTCTCACCTCAGGACAAATATAGTGATGTAGAAGTAAGCAAAACCAGAAGAGTGACAGAACTGTTCAGAGGTGCACTGACAACCTTAGCATAATACTAGTACATGATTGTATTGCTGTCAGTACAGTAGTACATGTGTGCTGATACATAAACCACTGTGATGTCATTGTTGTTCCGAGTTGTGTTGTTGACAACACCATAGTGTACTGATAAACTGCCAATAGCACTAGATAGATGCCGAGCAGTGACAGAAGCTGCACAAACAGCTATCAGACAAGTACCGTCTCCCTGTTTAGAAACTTTCGGTTATTTGTCGTCAACAATTCTGTCTACCTGCCGACAAGAAATAGACTGGCACTTTGGACAGCATCGCAGAGCTAGAATCAACGGCTCTTCATCAGTTTCGCACGTACTTCACTGACGTCATAGCGAAACGGACCTGGACCACCTTGGTAGCTGACAATGCCATCTTCAATCACATACAGACGTTCCGGCAAGGCCCGGTATGCAATGGCGGTCTGATTATCCATCGTATCTAGGACAGTATCACAGGGAAGTTCTCTGAGTACGGAGGCCATATGACTGGCTGCAGCACACCTCTCCTCAATAGTTGTATGGGTGTCGATGTTGACCGGCGCATCGTGTTTCCACACTCCGTCCCATGGGTAGGCTTCAGCTATGTAGACCACCAAGAAATCGACTGTATCCTTGAAATCATTCACTAGCGAGGTAAACTGCTGATTGAAAGCATCCACCCACGGCTGTCAGGTGCAGCTTCCGAAGTTTAGGACCAGAGGACGTCCAGGGTGCATGTAGCTGCTCAGCTGAAGTGTTTCTTTGCCATCCTTGCTCATGATAGTTGTATCCAACATTGGCATTCCCTGTCGAGCGACAGGTCGGAGATCTCCTACATCATAGTATTTTCTCTGGACAGCGACAGGTGCTAGGTCAACAGGCTCCGGAGCAGCAGCGGAACTCTCTCTACTGGCCATCGCCGGATACAATCCCCTACATACGCCTAGGCTAGAGGAAGTAAGATTTACCGTGTTCAAGTTGTAATCCAGAACAACAACAGGCTGCATGCACCGTTGCCGCATTGGTGTTCAAAATCAATCCCCATAAAAATATTAATTTTTGTTGCATTCACCGGATCACCATGACATGATCTGAGCTGACTCGGCTTGCACGTAGATCTACATTACATTTTTGTCTACATAATTATTGTACTGTATATTCTACGACTGCGGCCATGACTGTAGACATGTACGATGTAGCTAGTGCAGTGGTTGTGGATGAATAATGATGGCTGATGTTTACAACATTTATGAACCATGGTAGATGGACTGGACTCGACTGCTGGACTGATAATAATAATAATAATTATCACTCTCTTAGTATTGACTCCCCTTGATTTTTGCTATACCTAAGCAGTAAAATATTCCTGCATATTTCACTCCTTAGGGCTATATTGACTGCTTATATTTGACCGGTTAGGGGTTGCGCAGTTGAACGGTGCCTAGTGCAGCATTGCCACTGCATGAGTAGGTGGTGGTGCAACGGTTGTGCAATCATAAAACCGGGATTCATGAGGTTATCGTTCTGGAATTTGAAATACAGACTGTTTGTCGTGATAAATCTAATATTGACTTCGTACTTGGTCAGTATAGGAAATAAAAACCTCGTAAAAGACCTCGGCTTCGCCTCGGTCTTTTACTCGGCTTTTATTTCCTATCTTGACCTCGTACGCAGTCAATATTAGATACTGGCTACTATTACTTACAGCCTGTTGGGGCGCGTTCCTGTCACTTGAGTTGAACCATGGTGCGAAAGTTCAAAGTGTGTTGTACTTGTAGCCTGCAGGCACGGTGACCAGGCGACCGGTGTACGCATGATCACGTGACTGCCTATTCAACCATGTTCGATTGGGAGTAAGCTGCATCGCAGCTTTTTCGGACCAAAACCATTCGGCGCAGCATCCAAAAGACTACAACATATGGGCCGATCGCGGTCACCCGTGCTTTTATAAGAACGAAATGGTACTTTAGTGACATTATGCATAAACATCTCCATCTAGTAGGGTGCAGTCATCCAGTTTCGGTAGAAGTGGCGAGTTCGATTTGGAACAAAGGATGAAGGGAGCGTCTCGGCTTCTTCGGACCAAGACCATTCGACTCAGCATCCCGAACACTACAAGCGGTGAGAATTTGATTTTTTTGAAGTTTACTTCCCCTTTAATAGACCACAATACAGAACACTTACCGGTATGCAAGGGAATATTTCTTATTTATAAACTTCAAAATCAGGCACCGGTCCATGATCAAGTTTGAAACTGTCCAGTTATGTAGAACAGGTAAATAGGCGGAACAGATTGAATGATCAATCACTTTCCTGCATTCATAGAAGTTAAGAAATCATTTATAGATATAAACATAGGATACATTGGTGCTTTCTGACAATACTATCAATACAGGGAAGTTGAACAGAAGGATCAGTAAAAAACAAATACAGTCATGTATTTGTCAATCTCAAGGAATCAGTCATTCATGGATAGACATGTACTGGAACTGCGTTCCTGAAGGCTAGATTCGTTGACTTCCTCACTGTAAAGGTTTGATTTTCTAGTGCATGAGCACACGATAAAAAAGGTACACTCGGTTGTGGCATCAGGTTTATTTTGTGTACCTGACAATGCATGGCTTGGTGGAGCGGGCCACAGCTCCCACAGAACCTGGTGGAACTTCGATGCTGGAAGAAAACTGTGGCTCCATCTTGAGACAATGGTCTCCCGCGAGCATAAGGCACAGAACGATCTTGGCAAGGAGATACATGCAAACAGAGAGAAAAGACTTCATGATAAGTATCAACGAGGAAGCTGTCGGGAATTAGGATTTCATTCGTTCTATTGAGGACTACCACAAATAGGCAGTGTTGGAGTTTTTCTCCCGTAAAGTAAATAGGATCATTCCGACTTTCCCACCCCCCACCCCCAAGTTCCACATCTAAGGGAAACAATACCAATGGCATACTGTGAGGGTCTTTTAAAAGTCGTTAATCCTTGACGGCTTGAATGTTGAGAAGCGCTACATGAATCTGTAAATTAAAGGGTATCATGATTGCATGGCTTTCACATAGTTCTGCACTGAACCTGGGAATCCCTTGATAATTATGTTCTATGGCTTAACAACTGACCTTGCTCAGGGTCATGGCGAACTTTAAGCCGGGACAAGAGTGAAACCCGTGTCCAAACGTACTGATGTGGTACTGTGCATCTGTTTCCCGCTGATGAACTGACCTCCTGAGGAAAGAGAACACAGAACGATATGACTGGATCACGTCTTCGGCAAGAAAACAACGCTAGGCATATCTAGAGAGATAATTATAACTACTTGGGTATACTCAAGTCAATTTGAAAGATTTCCCACCCATTGATTAGCACCTGGATGAAAAAATGCCTTGGCTGAGCTTCATCAACGAGGGGCATGGTGCATTGGTGATGTTGACGCGTGACATTCATATCATAAGTACACTAGGACTTTGCCATGCAATGGTATGTCCTTTCAAAGCAAACTGTTACGAGTTCTAACTATGTGTGATTAGGGTTTTCACACTGTCTGCCAGTGTAAAAAGGCAGATACTGCCTTTTTCTTAAACTCGGTTTACACCTGCACTGTCCGGGAAAAATCCAAATTACCTTCCTGGCTGAAACACGTCAGTGCCTGGTTCATCACTGCCCACTTCATTGTTAGTAATGGACAGGAGGGTAGCGATGTACAAGCCTGAAGGTGTAAATTCAGAAAACAGAGTCGGCTTGGGTTTGAAATGATGTACATGTAGTCAGATGTACAGAAAGCAGTGAGATAAGATGTTGCGTTCTTGTTAGTTTGCATGGTACAATACCAACGTTTCCAAACTCAGATTTCAGATCGGAGTGTTAGTCGCTAAAGGTGAGATTGTTGAACAGCAACTCTGGAAAACTGGATAGTACCTGCTCTTAGCAATGGATGCTTACCTTTCGGCAGGGAGTGCTCCATAAACGAACATGGCTTCATCACCTTACGCAATGTGAGCGATTGCTGAACATGGAGTGAAGCATCATTATAGAAAGAGACAATCCAAGGGATTATGATCTACACGAAAGTCATGTTCCTATTTCAAGCCAAATGAGCAGTAACTGTTGGCTTTGCTCGAAGAAAGACGGTACAGAGGACACGGATTGTCATCTAGCGGTAGAGGGATAACACAGGTCTAACCTGGGAGATACGCAACGACTCGTGGACGACTTGCTCAATATACACCATTTCGTCCAGTGCCTCCAGACTGCTTGTGTAGGCTGGTCCATACTTCTTCTCAACGGCAGCAATCTCAGCCATGACTTTCTCCCTGCGCATCATATAAAACACAGTCCGAATAACCTGTTACTTCGAAGAAATTTTTCTACAGCATTATATCAGAGCTTGAAACAGTCGCAAGTGGTAGTAACATGATAAGAAAAGAATGAAATTCTAGTACATGTACATGTAGCAAAATGTTCCTTTGACCTTGTGAAAGGGCAATATCATCATATGCAGTGAAACCTGCCTAAGCTAACCGCTCAAGGGACCTTCAAAACGTTGTTATCGTCTGTACCCAGATAATAGTTATAGCACACCAAGTAGCTGCAACTGTGACACGCATTGGCTTTCAAGTATATACCGATGATCAGTGTTCTAGGTTTCAGTCGATTTCACAGCAATGTGAATTGATTGATAAAGTTGGCTAATGACTCAGTGTCTAACCCAGACCTATAGGAAGCACTCACCTACAGGAGTTGTGCAATAGCACATTGGCCAACATCCATGACAACGATGCATACATGTTTGCTTGAGAAGCAAGATGGAACTGAAAGACGTCGATGGCCACTTGGTGAAATCGCTGGAGAGAATAGTTGAAATGAAGTACTAGTAGGTGTTAGTCCAGGCAGAAAACGTAAATTGTACTTGTAGTAAACAGATGGTTATCCCAGGCTTTTGGAAAGAAGTCGGCCTACACTGCACTGCAGTGTCAGAGTGTATGATAACTGATGTCATCAGGGAGTCATGCGGTTCATGCCTCAATATTCCCTTGCTACTTCGTATGTTGGAGCAATACAAAGTGGACGTCGAGATTGAATCGCCTCTGGCAAAACTTTGCAAAGCTGGCCAAATACTACCTTATGGCAAGATGAGGATCTATCCTTTGTTAAATATGCCATTGTGTCGGAGACTTTGAGCAATGAAACAATGCATGCATGGGTAGAGGTAGTACACATTTTGACAAATACGTTTGTAAAGATGGGTGTAAGCAAGGCAACTCACTGCTTCTGTCGACAGGTGACCGTACATTTCGTGGAGTGTAGCAAAGTTTGCGTTTTCCTGCAGTCCACATGCAGTCAGAGTCCAGGGAATGAGACATCTTCCAGAACACAATCACTGATCATGCAAAGAAAAAGGAGAGACCAAGAATGACTACAATAGACTGAGAATTTAGCAAGGGAAGCGTGGAACTGAAGAATGTGAGCGGAGAATGAGAAAAGAAGATACAAACACTAACGCCGAGACCCCTGGTCGGTCGAGTTGCTCCCTGTACATCGGCACGTCGTCCCTACTGTACATCCCCTGTGTCTTGTTTTTGTGTTTGTCTCCACATGTCTCTTTGTAGGGCTGTGTTCCCAATAAAAAATAAACAAATACAAAAAAACAAACAATAGAAAGCCTGCTGAAGAAATAATATTATTGTTGAAGTTCGAAGCTAAAATTAATATCTAAAAATCTTCAGTTCGTCGAATTCTACTCCAGTCAAGTGCCCAGAACTATCATAACTCCAACGTTAAATTTGGGTTTCGATCCAGTATAAATTCCAACTTGGGTATTCACGTACATACACTGAGACATGCAATGCACAATCGCTGCATTGTTGTGCTTTACCTCCTCTGTGGAAGTGCCAATTTCCTGCTGAGATTCCCACACGCAGCGTAGAACATCCTGGAGTTGCTTCAGTGCCTTCTTTTCATAATACTTTCCACTCAACGTTGTCACAAACAAACTGGACAGACTTTGAAACCCTAAACACACAAAAACACACACACACACACATCAAGGTACAGATTGTGACAATGAAGCACGAAGGCAACCACACTATAATGCGTTTCAAAAGTTGAGACCTCTAGACTTCTTCGAATAATTCAAATTTGGTTGCTCTTTGACAATTTTCTTCGGAATATTGCTCAGGCAGCTCCCGCAATTTTTTGTTACATAATTTTCTAAGCGATTGGATAACAAACGTCCAATTTCGGAAATTTTATGCACAAAGTGATCACAGATTTTATGTGGTATAGATGCTGGCCTAACGGTTTTTTGATACCAGAGGTCTGGACTTTTGAAACGCACTATTGATTTGCAACCTATCTTGATTGCTTTAGGAGCTGAATCTGCGCCTTGATCTTTGAAGGGTGGTGGCATTCCCACGGATGAGGAAAACTCGGCCTCTAGCCGAGTCTGACACGAACCGTGAATTTTTTTATTGCTATCACAGAGTATCACCGGACAAATGTGCAGGACCATCCTGGATGAAATGCTAGCTATGTCTGGTGGTGAATTTTTGGCACATTCTCAAGATTGCAGTCTACATGTCCAAGCGACTAGCAGGCTTGTTCAGCCACTTTTCTTTGGAGTGAATTATCAACAATTTGCAAGGTTCATCCTAGCTGGTTTCTGAGACCACTCAGTGCTTGCACAGACTGTGATAAGACGGGGGGAAGTGGGTCATGGCCAATAGCTGATACAAGGTTTCCGCTGTATTTCAATTGAGTTAGAAAACAGGGTCAAGTTCTATCCAAAGGAGCCACAAGAGCAGCGCCCTCCTACTCTGGTATTGTGTCCTCTTAGGTACTTGTTTTAACCCTCATAGAGTGAATTTTCAGTTCAAGCTTCCAAAGCCTCTACTGATCTGTACTCTTTAGCGGAGGAACTTTATATCCGAGATCAAAAGGCTTACCGGACAGCTAGCAAAAACTATTCTTTTTTTTAAATATATAGGACGTCATTGTACCAAAGGAAGCTTTGCTGATGGTGTGCTGTGGCAGAGTGTCGAGGTCAGCCGGAAAGCGTCAATTGTGGCAATGTGATTGCTGCCAAATGGTCCTTTAGATATAACTATTAATCCCGGAATACGAGCGTTGGGATGCATTTCAAGTGTTGATACCTGCTGCCCTCCTGCAGATTTGAACCTTGGAAAGCTATCCACATGGATGCGTCCAACAGCGGGAAATCCAGGCATCAAGTACTGCACGTCAGAGGTAAGAGAATGTGCACAGAAGTTACCTTTTTCCACGTCTAGAGCATCAAAGGCGGCAATGAACCTCCTCAAATGATCACTTTGGGCTGAGCAAAATGGTCAAACATCAGAAAAATAAATTAATTTCCGTCATTGCAGCAGACTGGCATTCCAATTCGAACCAAGCACAAGTACGGTGTGACATGAACTATATTAAACTGACATTTTCATTCCACTTCAAGGATACTGGAAGGCATTTTGGGTGGTAGGATACCCCTTCCCATGGTGTCCGGGCCTACGAAATGTTCTTAGATTTAGCAACAACACTATTGCATCAACATTATCCACATGGGAATCCTGGGCAAAGAGTGGTTAAAAGTCAGTACTGCCGTAGTAGTTGTTACGTGTCCAACACCATGTATTAGTTCCAACGTGAACCAGTTCATTCCGTCTCGGGCAGAAACTGCTGTTGCTCGTACATAGAGGTGCCCACATTGTGGCTACTGGTATGATTGGTTACCATTGCTTTTAAAGGCATTAGCACTCAATGATATTGTAGCTTCTCACCTGTCTCAGGGCCAAGCCAGACACGGAATCCAACTTGATGGACAATTTGCCGCATGAAGGCAAATAGCTCAAATTCTCCTTTGCTGTCTAGTGAGACCTGCATACAGCCATCAATAATTATCACACCAAAAACCTTTCGTTACTTTTAAAAAGATGGGAAGAGCAGATGTTCAACTAACTTCAACTTTGATCCGGCCAAAAAACGCTTTCAGTGCCTTAGAGATGATGCAAGTGCATGATAGAAAACATCTCAGTCACGGCATAGTCACCAACTGAGGGTGTGGCTTGGCTATCTGGCATCTGCAGTCGTCTACATGTATGTATACCAGTCACCTACCAGCTTTTCCTCAATCGCTGAGTTCATTTCATGGATGTACCCATGCAGAAGGGATTTCTTGAGCCTCTGGAAACGTCAATAGAGAAATACACAGCGAATAGAGTCAACGGTAGGCATGATTCTTCACAAGAAGATCCTGTAACAGGAATACTTACACTATGCATGGCATTCATGCAGTATACACATCACTGTATGACCGTTCTACTGTAGGTACTGATTTTCATACTTCCCGCTTCTTTTCTTGTAATGAATTATCCGGAATGTCCGTCATCTATAGAAAAGGGCATGCTCCAATAGTCTTCTCCAAAAAAATTATCTTCCCACATTACTCGTGATACTACAAGTGTCTTCGTAGACGGTGCTCGGGGAAAAATAATGTGGCCAAAGCAGCTAGCACTGTTGGCAGCTGTGGGATTTGAACCCACTCTTCCCCAAGGGACTGGAGCCTCAATCCACAATATGCAGCTGATACACGTTCTAATGTACCTTGAAATTTCCATAACTATAATATTGGCTGATTGCAATATCATTTCACTAGCTTCTTTCAGTTGATAGCACATACAAAAAGGGTTCACGATACAGTACCCTAATTTTGCGTCTTAAACTTCACACATTAACCGAACAATTATGCGGTAAATCTTCACACCGTCAATGCAAGAGCAGCATTGAAGCATGATGAATAAGCGATCAATGCAAATGCATACTAGTCTACGCCAGTGGCACAATCGTTGGGTGGAATGGTCTTGCTCTGTAGTTAGCTATGGATACATTCAGCTCTCCATATAACTGCATACCTTGTGGAACATGCTCATGGAGCCTTGGACCAATTCACCCTGACCACAAGAGCAGGGCAGAGAAAGTATAAAAAGCACATTAAGAGGCAGGATCTCAAAACCTCACTCAAAGTGGGTGGCTTGGCCCATCCAGCCGTACTTTGGGCAAAGTGGCTTGGAGAATGACTGAACGAAAATATTGCCATGACGATAGTCAGTATCTTACTAGACTGATTTAGGATTTCGGAGTTCCTATACTAAATATGTACATGCACGCACAGGTGAAAGCTATTCAAGTGTTCATCTGGTCTATACGACCACTTTTCTTTGGTGCCGAATGTGTTGAATGTTCAAGGTTCAGCCAGAGACCACCTGTAGTTAAAGCCCACGGCAGGCGGATCCCATGGGTGGCCACTAATGGCAAGTTTTGTCTCTATCTTGAATACAGCACTGCCCTAGCAGAATTCCACACCAAGACCAATGTCACATGTCCCCACTTGAGGGCCTTCAGCATATTCAATACTTGAATCTGTATAACGGCCTTGATTGCACATACAACGGAGGCGAAAGGCTGTGCAGCTGTAAGCCTGTAACTTTCAAGTTTCACACATTTCAGCGATCATCAGACAGCGGCATTCTACTTCGAGTTGCCTTGACCGGCCTTGTTTGTAACGGCAGTGACTATGAAAGTATAAAATCAACCCGAGTTTGTAATTTGTTGTCCTTTGTCATCACTTCAGTGAATCACGCTGAGCTCAAACAAGAAACGTTTTTTACACACTGTCAAAACAGTGAGATCATGGTACGGGGATCGAGCAAAACCAACTTATTGAATGCAAGTTCCGGCTTACAGGCAGTTTCAGACCAAGAAAGGCTCTTGTGGCCTCAGTGAAGCTTGCATCCGCCTCTCGTATCTTGTACAAGGCTTCTAGTCCCTTGGACGAAAAGGTGAAGAACATGTCAGTTCCGAACATCTCCAGAATGAAGTTGTCTCCATGCTGCACAACACAGAATAAATGCGACCGTTAATTTAAACTTACAAAGAACAAATGCTGAAGTATGCAGTCCTGTGCTCACATCAAATTAATCACCTTTTTTGGACACATCATGATGAGTGTATCCCAGCACATTCCACAACAGATATGTGTGTGTGTCTGTGTGTGTGTGTGTGTGTGTGTGTGTGTGTGTGTGTGTGTGTGTGTGTGTGTGAGAGAGAGAGAGAGAGAGAGAGAGAGAGAGAGAAGAGAGAGAGAGAGAGAGAGAGAGAGAGAGAGAGAGAGAGAGAGAGAGAGAGAGAGAGAGAGAGAGAGAGAGAGAGAGAGAGAGAGAGAGAGAGAGAGAGGTGTGCGTGTGTATGTGTTGATTTGTGTTCCTTGGGAGCAGGTTACACTTTCTAAGCTTCATTTTCTGGCTTTCTCTAAAGTTTCCCGCCTGCCCAGGGCGACTCTGGAGAGTCGACCCTGGATCACCCTCGCACACTGCCAAGGTAGCACTGAATGATTGGGATGCGGACAAATTATTTCGATATCGTCACTGCTGCGTGGGCCGTGGTCTGCCACTCGCTGTGGAGTAGCTGTCCCTAAAGTGCTGTACTGTCATCTAAGCTCAAAGATAGCAGTGGTGGGAATTGCGGATTGGTTTCTGCAGTGCTGGAACAAGTTGTTTACAGTGGAATGGCCGGCGAGTGCGAAGAGGAAGGTCGCAATTGCGGAATGGTGGAAATTGAAATGCTTCAAACTTTCGTCGTCATGAGTACACTGGTCAAGCGTTGTGGACGTCTGTCGGATATGTGAGGCCCTGCCGCTTACATCTACAATGTGGAAGAACTGCCAGTGGAGTCTGGGTGGGATTTCGGATGCCCACACTCCTTTTGCTTGGTGGACTCTTTCCTGGACAGTTTTTTTGTGACATAAAATTTGGCAGTGTATTTTTCCTCCTGTTCTTTTCAGTCGTTGTCTCTGCCACTGGCAGGTTGTGTTACAGTACAGCAGTCGTCCGTTCTACTCCATTGTTTTATCTGTTTTGCCAGTTCTGCTAGCTGATTCTCTTTATTTGCCACTGCCCTTGAAGGCTTCATAGTACCCATGCTTGGGTGGAGGGCGGCGTGACCCGTTTGGGTAGCTGTCATAGTAGCAGTAGTACTAGTAGTATGTGTGTGTGTGTGTGTGCGCGCGCGCGCGCATGCGTTTGTGTGTGCATGGTCGTAGGAACCGGTCCGGTAGGCCCGGCGGTCGCCGGACCAATAATTTTCGATTTTTTTTACATTTCAACCTTGTTGATGGCTTGTCGACTCTTGTACAGGTACCATGTTTTACATCGACAATGCGGTGTATCATCAGCATGCATATTCTTATTTCTCATATTATTCTGTAGCATCAAAATATGGCCTTTTAGGCCCAATTTTCAAAAAAATCCCGGGGAGGACCCCCGGACCCCTCTCACAATTTCGCCGCACCAATATTAAACTGCTTCCTACGGCTGTTGTGTGTGTGTGTGCATGTGTGTGTGTGTGTGTGTGTGTGTGTGTGTGTGTGTGTGTGTGTGCTTTCTTGTATGCATGACGCTCTCTCTAGCGCATGAACATTGTCATCGGGTTATCATAATCACTCCGTGAATCGTGGCTCAGAAAGTATACATCATCAGTCCGGGTTCCACTTGGCATAACAGTACTAGTCAGTAGGTCGTATCGCAGCCGATCTGCGTTGTTGGGATTTAATGGCTGGTTCAGCGTAATAAAACTATTGTCGTATATTTAAAGTCTTGCATTCTAACTCGGACTTTTTGCACATGTACATGATTGTACATCAGAAAATAATTTGAACCTCAGAAAGTGTACTAGCAACTAATCATCATCGGGCCGGACCCGTACCTGTTTGCGGACGTCTTCAAGGAATTTGCGCGGATTGCCTACAAACCGCAGGCCACAACCAACCCACGGCAGAAGTCCAGAAATTCGAGGTACACCCGGTACATCGGCTTGACTTCTCCTGAATAAGTACACGTAGCAGTAGATAGCGACAAGTGCCACCGCCGCTAGCGTTGCAATTAGGATCATCATTGCCATTGGTGCCGGGAAAAGAAAATCTTGGATGACCTTTCATCAATCAATGTAGCACTCCATTCCGATCGATGGAAGAGGAAGTAGTTCAACAAAACCACTAACCATGCTAACTGTACCTACACGCCGAGCTACATGAAATATTGAATGAAGAGCTAGAACACGCGTTGCAGTTCGCAAAAATCCAGACGATATAAAAATAAATTGACAGGTAAGATCGTACTTTACTACATCATGTACGTAGCTACGTAGCTACGTACGTGCTCGTATGTCCTGAAATTATTTTGTGAGTCTTTCACGTCTATTTATTATTTTTGCGATTGCTCGGATTAGTTATCAGCCTATTAATAAAAGGAACGGTTAGTAGGCTACAGAATCAGTAGGCTACAGAATCTAGTGGCAGTGGCAGATTTCGCTGCCTGATTTCGTTGCTGAGTCATGACCATGATGACATTGCAAGGGCGAGAATCTCTTTGTAGTCTTCTGCATCAGGGAGTCGTATAAACATGATAAACGACTCCCTGATCTGCATGACTTTGTACACTACAATGACTTATAATGTATGTAGACCATGGTAGGCGTACTACTACTAGTCTATACCGATAATGACCAGGCCAGGGAGTCTGGCTTTCACGACTTCCTGAATTCAAGTAGATCGTATCAGGGAGTCGATTTCGACTCCCTGTTAATTATTTATAATAATTATTATAAGCTGTAGTCTGTCTAGTGTGTCTGCTACTACTAGTACATAGTAGATCTACCACCGTACCAGTACCATCTCTAGATGCATGCATCAACATTATAACTGTTAATAGTTTCTAATAATAGTAATATTGTTACTAATAATATTCACTACTTTCCCTACTACAGAAGTTGCTGAACTGTGATCATTCACCATGGTGACTGGATGTCAGTGGACCAAGTGGACAGGTGTTTGAGTGACAGTCTGTTTGTCTACCACAGTAAGATGTTGACAGTTCCTGGTGACTCCACCTCCTCCGGGTTGGGTCAACTCACCCTTCTGTTCAGCTGAGTTCTTGCCCAAGAATTGAAAACAGCTGCTTCTTGGCATAACTAAAACTAAGTAAAAAGGCCATGATGTACTGTACTGTAGTACCAAGAGTAGATAAACTAACGATGCCGAACCCAGTTGCCACGGACTGGTGGACTAAGACTCAGTAAGAGTGACTGACCGCGTAGTGACCAGGGGCAGGGAGCAGTACATACATGTACATGACTGTACATGTACGTACTAGACTACTACTCCCTGGCAGTGACCGTGGACCGACAGCCGGTGCATACAGTATTATGAGAGTTTATCAATCCGGTCGACTCATGATTAGCCTGTATAATATTAATAAAGCCTCTGCTAGTCTAGTACTAGTAAGTAGTAGTGCTAGACCGATCACCACCGGCTCCGGATAGCCTTCACACAGAAGGGTCAGCTCAGACACATCATCGCGAAATGTCCCTGGCTTTGCTTTTTTGCCTTGGCTTTGCCTTAACCCTTGGCTTTTTCCCGACTTCTAAAATTAAAGGGGAAGTATACCCTAAAATCAAATTTTCACCAGTTGTAGTCTTCGGGGTGCTGAGTCGAATGGTCTTGGTCCGAGGAAGCTGAGACGCTCCCTTCCTACTTGAATCCCAATCGAACTCGCGCACTTCCACCGAAACTGGGTGACTGCGCCCTACTAGATGGGGATTTGTATGCAAAATGTCACTAAAAGCGCCATTTCGTTCTTATAAAAGCACGCATGACCGCGATTGGCCCATATGTTGTAGTCTTTTGGACGCTGAGTCGACTGGTTTTGGTCCGAAAAGGCTGCGATGCAGCGTTCCTCCTTTATTCCCAATCGAACATGGTTGAACAAGCGGTCACGTGCTCCTGCGTACACCAGTCACCTGGTCACCGTGCCTGCAGGGTACAACTTACTAGCCTGTTTGACCTTTTTTGGGTGCAGTCCTGTCACTCGAGTTGAACCTTGGTGTGAAAGTTGTCGCCTGCTGGCGCGGTGACCAGGTGATTTGGGCAACCAGGACCACGTGACCACTTCTTCAACCATGTTCGATTGGGAATAAAGGAGGAACGCTGCATCGCAGCCTTTTCGGACCAAAACCAGTCGACTCAGCGTCCAAAAGACTACAACATATGAGCCAATCGCGGTCATCCGTGCTTTTATAAGAACGAAATGGCGCTTTTAGTGACATTTTGCATACAAATCCCCATCTAGTAGGGCGCAGTCACCCAGTTTCGGTGGAAGTGCGCGAGTTCGATTGGGATTCAAGTAGGAAGGGAGCGTCGCAGCTTCCTCGGACCAAGACCATTCGACTCAGCACCCCGAAGACTACAACTGGTGAAAATTTGATTTTAGGGTATACTTCCCCTTTAAAGGGGAAGTATACCCTAAAATCAAATTTTCACCAGTTGTAGTCTTCGGGGTGCTGAGTCGAATGGTCTTGGTCCGAGGAAGCTGAGACGCTCCCTTCCTACTTGAATCCCAATCGAACTCGCGCACTTCCACCGAAACTGGGTGACTGCGCCCTACTAGATGGGGATTTGTATGCAAAATGTCACTAAAAGCGCCATTTCGTTCTTATAAAAGCACGGATGACCGCGATTGGCCCATATGTTGTAGTCTTTTGGACGCTGAGTCGACTGGTTTTGGTCCGAAAAGGCTGCGATGCAGCGTTCCTCCTTTATTCCCAATCGAACATGGTTGAAGAAGCGGTCACGTGCTCCTGGGTGCCCAAATCACCTGGTCACCGCGCCAGCAGGCGACAACTTTCACACCAAGGTTCAACTCGAGTTCAACTCGAGTGACAGGACTGCACCCAAAAAAGGTCAAACAGGCTAGTAAGTTGTACCCTGCAGGCACGGTGACCAGGCGACTGGTGTACGCACGAGCACGTGACCGCTTCTTCAACCATGTTCGATTGGGAATAAAGGAGGAACGCTGCATCGCAGCCTTTTCGGACCAAAACCAGTCGACTCAGCGTCCAAAAGACTACAACATATGGGCCAATCGCGGTCATCCGTGCTTTTATAAGAACGAAATGGCGCTTTTAGTGACATTTTGCATACAAATCCCCATCTAGTAGGGCGCAGTCACCCAGTTTCGGTGGAAGTGCGCGAGTTCGATTGGGATTCAAGTAGGAAGGGAGCGTCTCAGCTTCCTCGGACCAAGACCATTCGACTCAGCACCCCGAAGACTACAACTGGTGAAAATTTGATTTTAGGGTATACTTCCCCTTTAAAAAGGTCTTTGCATGTGCATGTGTAGTGCCTAGTGTAGTAGTGACTATACTAGTGTTGCTCCGCACGCAAGCGGTGAGTGACCTGGACTTTTCAAGCAGGGTGCACCGATCCCGGCCTGAGCTGACAGAAGAGATAGATAACAACTACGTTGGCAGAGCACGTGAGGGCAGGATTCGCGGTCTGACCTGAGCTGCGTCACTCCGATGATTTGACATGAAATGCAGGTGTGTGTGTGTGTGTGTGTGTGTTTTGCTTTTGCATTTGCCAAGTCACACTGTTCACAAGTGCATGGCAAATCGTGATCCAACCACGCAACAAGTAGATGTAGATCTACGTAGTGCAGCGCGCTAGCGGTAGATCTACGCGTTATCATGGTTATGTCTGGGCTTGGCAGAAAAGGGGCCAGTCCAGTGAGGTCAACGAGGGTACGCGTTGACTCTGACGTGAATAGTTATTTTTTGTTGCTGCGAAATGCTCTCGTGATCATTCCTGGTGCAGTGAGCGAACTGACAGGTTTTGGTTGTCTTTCTATTTTTTTCATTGGATCAGCTACAGTCGTACGATCGTGCAGCGGGAATGCGCGCATTTGTGAGAATCCTCATGTCGACTGGGTGAAGCGAGGCGTGCACATGTGCGCGCGCGTGTGGCCTCCTAACCTGCTGTAGCAGCGCTAGCACCTAATCCTTGCACGCAAAAACGTCAATGTCAAAAGATTACTTGTATGTGCCGTAGTTGTAGCAGTTGCGAAGATTTCTCCTTCGTGAGGACAACAACAGAATGGTTATGTAGTTTTCGTTGGTGCTCGGTGCATGGAGATTTTGTCGTGTTGGTTGTCGTTCTAACGCCGTTGGTGCACTGGCACCATGTCTTGGAAGCGTAGTACAGACAGAGACCGAGATGGAATTGAGAAGTCTCGGACGCAGATTGCCTGTAAGTATAGGTATTCGGTGAATTGTAATAATAATAATTATTGTGAACAACATCTTGAAATACGGTTTTGTTCATCACGTGTACATCATAGTACGTTTAGAAATTTCTACAGAGAAACAATTATATAATTCGTACCTCGTGCATTCTTGAGGTCTAGCTAGCTCCGTTTTCTCTGCGTCCTTCCGCTTCTTGTTTCCGATTGATCTGTCGGGGATAGCTTCAGCAAACACATGTGTGCCAGGGGATGCGATTGATCTGTGGACACCTTAGGCTTAGGAATATTGCGGAGCCAAACGGCTCTGTAACTGCAGTGCAGAGGCTGTGTCATGAAATCTGTAGAATGTAGTGTCAGCCCAGTTTGCCTCCTCGACATGCTTGGACGCCGGAACTGGAACAACCCCGGAGTGTGCTCGAGTTGTTCTCCTATTAGTATTAGTATAATTGGAATGGTGTAATTGTTTTGTGAGAATGCATGCTGCGCTGTCCTCATCGCTTTCGAGTTCCTGTTACTGCTTTTCACAGAGTCTAGTAGTTTATAATGGGTAAAATGTGCAGTATGCGAAATCATGCTGCTCTGTGTTCGCGTTCGGTATTTCAGCGGCTTGCCGCCGGATTTGGGAACGACACAAGCGTGCGTGGTCTCCCATTTGGTTACCACCTCCACCTCATGCTTGTTACGTCGGCTTTACTTGTTGTGCAAAGCACTTGTTGCTGTACTCTCACTCTCAGTGAATCAGTGCAGCCATGCAAGTAGTACAATCAGCACGGTAGATCTACATGACGATTGTACATGATAATTGATATTGATACTCGGAGAAGTGCCTGTATGGACTATGCATATGGGGCACTGATCTGGTATCTCCACTCAGCACAACAGTACTCGGTAGGGTAGGGTTCACCGCATGCAGTCCGCAGTCCGCAGTTCACTGTCCAGCTTGTTAGTAATCACACCATGGGTCCAGGCCAGGCAGCTGGTTGAACTACACTGACTGTGCTGTGCTGCACGTGTCTGTTCTGTTCCTAACAAGACTGAAAGAGTGCCTACTTATTCAATCTGGGGTTACTCTTCTCTAGTGCTAATAATTATTGAACTACCTTTCTCTGTTTGACATCCGGTGAAGTCCAACCAGCAATTGCCTGGATGGATAATTGAATCATTATTATGGAAAAGAGGAGAATTGCCTTCTTTTTCTGACTGTTTTCAATGGCTTGCCTTGTTACTTGTGACTCAGACTGAGAGTGAGTGTACCCACCGAAAAGAAAGAAACCCCTTTACCATGTTTACCACAAGTACACAACTAAGAGATCCACCCACCCATATCCTAACAAGGCGGCTAATGATAGACCAGCCAGTGAACCATTCCACCTTTATGTAGGATCTATTATATATCCAGTGCAGTCTTTACACGTACATGTATCATCAACTGACAGTCTGTTAACCTAGGTGGGATATCAATTATCTGCAAGGAAAGCATGCATGTAAGAGCAAGTACATTCGATATGCTCCAGGAATGTTAAACAAGAGTATGTAAAACAAGTACTCATCATACCTCTGTATTCTCGCCACATGTTTCTTGAAGGCTCCCTAGTGTATGCTGTATGTGTACCCATCCTGTGTCTGGCTGCGCGTGTGCAGCTGATCGAGATGCGGTGCAGAAGAAGACGTTCACCAAATGGATCAACTCACATCTGATGAAGGTGTGTATGTGTACAGTGTAGTAGTATTGTACTAGGTACTAGGTACGCAGTGGAGTGAGTCAAACTTGGGACTATAACTTGACATTATAGCACTGATCAGAGGCGCTAGGAGCATGATTAAACGAATAAAAAAACTATTCTTTCTCACACCTCACATCAGCCATAGCGGCTAGTGCAGGGTTGGCTGCGGGCAGCCCTATTGAAAAAAGCACGCACCGCAGATGTTCGTCATTCGAAAGAACAATGCTTCTCATGTATTTCAAATATTCGGCCAACGAGAAGCGTACACAAATTTTCAATGCAGGTATCCATTAGCAAGGATTTTTTTAAACAGAATTGAAGAAGGGACGGACAGTAACGGCGAAGTGCATGTTGCCAGAAAATCAAGCAAACTGTAAATGTGCCATCAGCAAATTCTTGCTTTGCTCATTTCCTGTAGATTCACTTGATTGTGCCCTCCTACTCCTGTAGGGGACCATGCAACTAACACAACAATAGGGTGCCATCCTCCTGGCTAGTTGATTTAGTCCAAGCCCTTGAACTTGCTGTAAGGTGGTTTCAAACCAACCCAGGTTTCATGTTCTCCTGTAAAGTTATGCCACAGCTACCTGGGGTTAACTCAACTATCTCCTGTATAGTGAGTCACTTATAACTGCTCATCAAAGCCGTGTATCATAGCATTGGTACTGTTTTGGTTGGGTATCCAGGCTGGAGTGAAAGTCAATGACCTATACGAAGACCTGAGAGATGGAAAGTATCTTCAGATGCTCCTGGAGATGTTTACCGGCATCAAATTGGTAAGTGATGCCAATTAACATGTTTCCCCTGTGTGTGTATGTGTGTGTATGTGTGTGTGTGCGTACGTGCGTGCGTGTGTGTGTGTGCATGGTGTGTGTGTGTGATGGGGGGGGGGGGGGGGGGGATGCAGTGGATCCATGATCTACTCTGCTGCTTTGGTTGTCCATCTCTTACATTGCACACATTGAATACGGACCATACACATAATGGAAGCCGTGCCATGCAGAATCCCTGAATCCTGGGACATGCTTGAAAGCAGATATTGGTAACAGCGCACCCCTTACCGCTGTCTTCCTTGAACTATGGCGAAATAATTCAGGGGATGCTTTTTGCAATCAAAGCAACACCCCTCCCCACCACCGACATAACCCAAGCATGGTTGATTCATTTTGGAAGACACATCTACCTTGTTCCCTCCATCCCACTCAGTCTTGATGTATTCGGCTTCAGACACCATACTGTGAGTGTGTTGCTGTGTGTTACCTTTCCCGTGTATCGCCTCAGAAAATGGAGAAAGGGCGGATGCGCGTGCACCAGCTGACCAATCTCAACAAACTGATGGTGTTCCTTGGCGAGCAAAAGGTGCGTCCTGGAAGCCCATCCAGATGATAATGCAGAGGTGGAAATGTATAAATGCCGCTCATACTAAGTTTGGTGCTCAACACCCTCCATAACTGATAACTCTTTGGTGTATATTCTGAGTAACAACAAAGAAGCCCTACTTTCCTTTGTGTACCTCTTGTGTTCTGTGCTCTGCCTCTCACAGGCACTCAGCACTCTAGCAGGTTAAGGCACACTGCCTCTGATTGATTGATTGATTGATTTTTTTGATTGATTGCCTCTGTAGTGTAGTTGTCTATATGTTTCTTGTGTTGGGCTTTTCCAGTCTATGTATGTGCCCCAGTTATCACTATGATGAATTTCAAAATTTAGCTGCTGAGATCTTCCTCGTCCAGGACTACATTCAGTGTGAAAGGATACAGTTTGGGGTTGTAAATGACTTTCTTGTGTGCATGAGTGTAAAGAGACTAGTGAACACCACAAGCTTCAGGCTCTTTCCAATCAGCATTCCACAAGCCCTTTCATAGCCTTTTTCTTCAGGTGGATACAAGGCTAAGAAGAAACTAACCAGTGCAATACGTTTTAGACAAGATATAATAGTAGGTGATATAAGCAGCAGTAGGTAGTTTTGTCCAAAACCTTTGTGTTGTGGCAATTTTAGACCAGTAGTAGTACTTTAGTGTACATTGTGTTGGAATTCTTTCCAGTGCCGATCTGCATGTAAACAACTTAGTCTTTCCCTACGCTTTCATCTGCCTGTTCTGGTTAGATTGACACACTAAACATCACCAGCACGGATATACTGGACGGCAACCCAAAGTTAACGCTTGCCTTGGTCTGGCGATTGATCCTGCACTATCAGGTGAGACAGAACTGACACCCAATACACATGCTGCGGCTGTGGCTGCATAATATTATTTTTTGTGCATCCGGTCTAAATCCACACTGTGACCATTCTCCATGAATCATCTGTTGAACTTACTGTGCGTCGTGCACACTTTATTTTTTCCCATGCATTGGGTAAAGTCAAGTGTGCGCACAACAAATCATTGATGCATACACCGACTGATACAGTTGCTTCCATGTAAAGTTGATCGTTGCAAAACTGAGCCGTACAGGAAGAGACAGAAGGGTCTAGCCTCAATCCGAATCCATAGCCTCACAACCACCCCTAAAAAAAGAAGTAATCCGTAGCATGGAGAATTTAGTTGTTGGCATTATTCCAGCTTCTTTAGCTAGCAGCGTTGAGAGACATGTTAGAGTGTATCCAAAATGGGCGAATACCCTGTAGTAGATTAACGTCATTTGTTTGTTATATACTGTTTGAATGCTCTACTTAGCTCTCAAACAGCGGCAGTGTTGGTCTTGCTGAGTTGAAGCAAGTCATTTTGGAATGGTGTCAAAATGTCACTGAAGGGTAAGTGCAGACCGGCTTTTACCATCTTTGTACACTGAGACCTGATGTTGCTTATCATCATACGGTCATTGGAGCAATAGCCATGGTCACATCTGGTCCTTTGGATTACAACTCAGTTGCTTATCATGGTCATTGGAGTAAAAGTCATTATCACATAGTATTAGGTCCATTGGACTACAACTTAGGATGCGGTGCTGCTTTTCGACTCAATTTGGCTGCCCGTGTTTGTTGCAGGTATGACGGTGTTCAGGTCACAAACTTTACAACCAGTTGGAAAAGCGGCCTGGCACTGAATGCCATTATCAACCGATACAGGTACACTGTAGTTGCTAGGTGTATCATGGTATACCTTGACTCTGTGTGCGGGCTTCATGTGAGCTTGTAGAGAGCAGAATAATTGATGTTCCAGTCCGAGCACTAACCTTTCAGGGACTTCCTGTTACCTTCTCCCCCTGGCCCCATCACACACCAACAACACGATCACGCAGTTTATCCAGTTGACTTCTTACAACAATAATTGGTGAGAGCCCAGGAGGAGAAGGCAAAGAAAAATGACGAAACGGCCACAAGACAACAAGACCAAAAGACTCAAAACTCGAAACGACGAAGAGTATCACCGGTGCGGACGAATCGCATCAACCAATCAACTGAATCAAGGACAAGTACGTGCAAGACACCAGACTAAAACCAAGGCAACGGGACCATAGATGAATCACTCGCACTCCCAGACTAGCACTCCGCACGCACAACATTCACTTGACACTCCTTCACAAATCAACCGGAGCAGGTTCTCACCCTCTGGCGACTTGTACTATTTCACACACCACAAAACATACTCGTCGTATATCACACCATACTCATGGGCACACTAGACCATACATCATAATTAAAAATTATAATGACGTCAAAGATCGGACCTTACGAGACATTATCCATATACAAGAACGTGCATAAATAGGAAGGGAATCAGATCTATGTAACATTCCTGCTGTGCTGGATGAATCGGAGGTGAGTATCTTCATGAAAACCGGTTCATACCATACAGCTGTGTTCCTTACTCCTACTTACTGATTCACACGGCTGGTATGTAAACAGAAAAAAGGGGAAAGATTTCTTCTCATTGGATTGATGATGCCAGTGTCTGACATTAGTTGACGATGGCATTCATCGGCGTTTGGTACAGTGGCTGGTCAGTCATTCCTCCATCATTGCCATGTGGTATCCTCGGTCCACTGTTCTATTGTGTACTAAATTCTGCTCCTCCCCTGCCCGTGTAACAACTAAGCACTTTCAGCACACTGGGTGCATCAGTCAATGGTGCTCGCCTAACCTGTAGCAGATGAAATAAGGTTACTGATCATGGCTGACTTGGACTCTTGTTACAGACCTGATCTCATTGATTATGATTCTCTGGACCAATCCAATCAAGCAGGAAACCTCGAGAATGCCTTTGAGGTTGCGGAGAAGGAAATCGGTGTGCCCAAACTGCTTGATGTTGAAGGTAGGGTAGTCACATTTTGTCACAAATGATGTGTGACGAATCCCACTGTTATTCATGAGTTTCTAACCTACATGTGCTTTGATGCTTTTGCTATTGTTCACACACTGCCATCGCTAGCTATTGTCTTTGACATCTCTTTGTTCCCGATCAACTCATTGTTGGATGTTAGGATGTTGGGTGTTCAAGAGGACTATGTGCAACTACTTGCCCCCGGTTTCTTTTATTCTACTTCAGATCTCTTGATGGCAGTTCCGGATGAGCGCTCAGTTCTGACCTACATTTCATTCTACATAAAAGCCTTCCCGGACGAGATTCCTCCACGGAGAAGCGGATTCGATCCTGTAAGAGCTGATTACCAGTGGATACAACTTTAGCCTTGACTCCACACCAGTTATAGTATCGGGACAGAGCTTTCGGCCATACTCCGCACTAGTAAAAAATACTAAAGATGTAGGATGTAGAATAATTATTGATATTGTCGTTGCTGTGATTTATGTGTGCTGCATTGCCTGTGGCCATGACGTCTAGTACGTGTGGATTGCAAGATCGTGTAGCCAATTTGCTCTGAGTTGTTGAACTGTTGGCAAGACGGCTAAGCATTGTAGTCAAATCACTACTCCCACTATTTCTGGACTTCTGACTGCCCTGTTCAGAAAAGGGCCCTACCTGCCGTTCATTGTTAGATGACCTCCTGTGTGTTTCTGTTTCACGTTCTTCTTCTGAATAGGTCAATGAAAAGCTCACGGCGTACGAGAAATGTGCCCGGCCTTTGATGGCATGGCTGAAGGAGAAAACACAGCTGATTCTGGATGCAGAAGAAGAGCCTCTACCCGAATTACTGGATGAAATGAAAGTGAGTGAAAGTTTTAAGTTTTAACACGCGTAACGACAAAGCCAGTTGTGAATCCAATGGGGTTTGATACCGTTTGAACCATTATTTCTCAAATCAATACGTGGTAATAATGAGGCAAAGCACAATAATGTCAATCAACACATCTTTGCAGGCGGCAGTGAAGTGGTGATGAAATAAACACTAGTGAATACTCTAAACCATACGCTATGCATGCCTAACCATATCCAGCGTAACTGAAGAACATCAGTCAGCGTGCTTCCAAGTTTCAATCAAGGCATGTCAAAGTTATAGCATCTGGGACTGAACGCTTGTGTCCTGGTTGTGTCCTGATCGGGCATGTTTCCTTTGTTGAGAGGTGTCTGCGACGTGAGGTTCTACTGTATCGAAATAGTTATAGTTCGAATAATTCTTTCAGCTCAAATGACGATAAGAAATACTGTGGTCATGTATTGTCCTGCAGGATCTGGATGTTGAAGGACTAGTGCCCCAGAGTGAAGTAGATGTCAAGGCATCGGACAAAAGCAAAGTAGCACCACTCTACAAGGAGCTACAGGTGTGTGATTGTAATCTGACCTCTCACCTGACTTCTGAGTTCGATTGACATGAGGCCGGTGTGAATTACTGACAGGCGGCTCAGGGAGTCGGTGTGTACATGAATGTGCAATGAGAGCTGGTCTTCACCTGCTACTGGCACACTGCACATACAACTACTCCTATTCACCTTATGTAATTCCTACCTTGAATTTCTCCACATACATACATACACGAGTAGCCACAATATGATCACTTGCTGCAACTAAAAATATATATTGAGGGCATGACGACCTGCCTTGATGTAGCAAGGTATATGAAGCAAGAGTTCTCTGACACTTTCTGCCCCCATGTTATACTAATATTTTACGGGTCTTTTCAACCGTTTTGTTTGGTATCCGTGTGTGTTTGCCGTCTGTACACACTTGAAGGATCTCATTGCTGAACGGCAGTCGGAGTTGTCAGTACCTGATGGCTTGCACGTCAATGACATTGACTCGGTGAGCTAGCTGGTCCCTTGATACACTGCCGTACACCCTTGTCTGCATTGTGCTCTACTAATCCTGTGCACAATGGTTGTGAGTAGTTTCTCTCACTGGTGTCGGTCTACTCGTGAGAAATCATTCAGCTTCAAGTCACGCACTTGCGATATGCCGCACACGTTTCAAACTGAACTGCATGTACTGGTGTATTTGTGTATAGTATCCATCAGTCACGGACCCGAGATACTTCGTGCGAATGTGTCTCGAGGATCGAGTGCACAACACATGGTGGTGCTATATATGTGTGCTGCGTTGCATTAAACCTGCTTTGGAATTGTGGGGTTACTTGCCCTTGTACCGGACCATTACTGCGGCCTAGCTCCTTTCTTGCACCTATCCTATACTTCGGGATCCAATCTTGTGCCTTTTCTGTCAGTCTTTCTGCTGTTATCAATCCAAGTTCAGCCGAATGATGTGTGCCTATGTGTTCTGTATACTTGTGAGGGCAAGCATTGCACTGCCATATCTATTGGAGGTGTTGTATTCTCTAATGCTGTGTGCAGGCGTGGGAAGAGTTCATGACTGCACTGGAAGCACGAAGATCTAAGATCCAAGACCACACCAACAAGTATGTTGTACATGTACTCGTACACTGACCACCGTGACCAGCAAGTATGTTGTACATGTACTCGTACACTGACCACCGTGACCAGCAAGTATGTTGTGCATGTACTCGTACACTGACCACCGTGACCAGCAAGTATGTTGTGCATGTACTCGTACACTGACCACCGTGACCAGCAAGTATGTTGTACATGTACTCGTACACTGACCACCGTGACCAGCAACTGCACTGTACATGCACACAGCACAATCGGTCGACAGTGCAGCACCTAGGAATTGTTGGTTGTCAGTTGGAGTGCGGCCTATGTTGGGCTGCCATTCAGTCGCTTACCCGATATCTCTTCAGCTTATCTCCCGCATCAGGTGTGTGTGTGTGTAGGCATACTGATAAACACGTACATGCACAGCAGCTTTTCACCGTGGTAATTCCCCATTCTCTTCTGCAGGTTGGAGACACAAGCAAAGCTGGATGCAGAGAATCAGCAGGTGAGAGCAAAACAGAAGAGTAGGTGTGTGCCTCTTCCTTAATTTACCCGTACAGGGCCGGCGGAGCCGCTCCGGTCGGTCCGGCCATGGCCGGACCAACTTTTCGGCCACCGACGATTTTTTTACGACGCAGTGAAGTTATGACTGTTGTGATCATCGATTGCATGTACGCCGTAATTGCGTACTTGCGATCTCGCTCTGATCTTGCCGTGTACATGGTGTACGTGTACGCTTGAGGGCTAGCTATTAGCATAGCTAGCTGTGGCATGTGGCCTAGCGCCTGTGTGTGGGCGGCGCCTGTAGCTGTGGCGCGACCTGAAAGTGAAAGCACGTGCCATGATATGATGGATTTTACATTGTAATTAATTTTGTAGTCTTGAGGGTTTTTCGTCGAGTGCTTCAGATTCTTTTACTGAACGAAGTAGTTTTTCAAATTTTTCCCGCTCTTTGGTCAGCTTAGCTGCAGTGCATGCTTAGCAGCTATGGCTTCTTCCAGCGAAATATCTGTGCCAGAAGTGCCAGTCCACCCAACCACTTCCTTCGCGTTTCCTCGGCGGGAATTTGGGAAGAAGACAGTGGTGAAGCGCTCTTGTCAGGCGTCATAATTATTTCAAGACATGGTCTTGGTTGACCTACGTCTACGATGAGCAAAGAGACGTTGTGTTGTGTCACACATGCGCAAGTGCTGTGATGGCAAAACAACTTGGCCGGACCAATCAACAATTGCTTCCGCCGGGCCTGCCGTATGCCAGGAACTAACACTCAGGTTTTCACTGTAATTGTGTGTCAAATCATGCCCGTAATTACCATCTCTTTGTCTTGTGCATATGTGAATTCTAACGTTATACAGCTCCAGGAAAGTTGGAATGACTACGAGGACGTCATCAAGCCATTGCTTCTGTGGATCAGTGCGCAACTGGATGAGCTCAGCCCTGATGACCTTCCCAGTAATATTGCTGAAGTGCAGACTTTGCTGGACAAGATTTCTGACCAGAAGACCTCAAGCGAATGGAAGGAGAAGTCCGGAATCAAAGACAACGGAGAAGGCTTTTTCAAGAAGTTCCTGGTATTGTGATATGTGGAGATAATTACAGTCATACAACTTCTATTTGAATTACAGTCAATTTGAGATCTACATGCAAGCGCGCATGAGTATATAGATTGAATATGCTGCAGCCTGAACCATATCATCATTTCGTGGAGCAAACACCTGGGTTAGAAAGTATGGCTAGTGCATCCCATTTGTTGACGATTTCCCATGTTTCCTCTTGCTAACAGGAACTCAACTCCACTGCTGCAGCGCCAATGGACATCCCTGAAGACCTGCATTTTGACACTATTGAAACGGTCAGTGAAGGTGATATCATCCGCATGTTGAGTTGTTCGGGCAATGGACATATTCTACGTACTGCTCGCATTAGCAGATTTAATGGAATGAATTGAGGTTCGCAGTGTGTCTTTTAAATATTTGCTCGGCTGTGACATCGATACGGACTGCTTCCCACACGTCATCTCACTTCCCACACGTTATCTCTGTTGCACTGAAGTAATACTATAAGTTGTAGCACTTGTTTTCTGATGTGACTGCAGGCTTGGCAAAGACTCATGGTCGGCAAGGATGAGGAGGTTGCCAGAGTTTCCGACCACTTGAAGAAGTAAGCAGATGTAGTTATCCCATTTCAGCTATCGCTGCAGTTTCTGTTGATTTTTTCCTCACCTATCCTTTGTGTAGATTTCTGCCTTTCCACGAAGGGTTTTCTTTTCTTTCGGTAACGACTCTTTCTGGAATACAGTGATTCAGGGTCACTGAGTTCTTCTGCATAATGACCCGAATGCAGTACCGCCCCACGTTTTTGTTCTGGCACAAATATGTCTGTCTGTATGTCTGTCTGTCTGCCTTTCTGTCTGTCTGTCTGTCTCCCTGTCTGCCTGCCTGTCTGTCTGTCTATCTGTCTCCCTGTCTGTGTACCTGTCTGTCTACCTGACTAACTGGCTGTCTGTCTGACTAACTGACTGTCTGTCTGACTAACTGACTGTCTGTCTGATTGGTTGGCTATATGAACATGTGCATGTTTGTTGATGACTACAGGCTCCAGGAAGCAGCAGCAACGGAAGAGGTATGTAGTCCCATTAAGCTTTCATTTCAGTAGGAAGTTTGTGTAGAACTGATGCCAGTGAAATGTATCATACATCCCTCTGGCAGTAAGTGTCGCCAATGCTACTGGACAGTGTGCAATGGGTAAGTTTAGCATTGTCGTGGCATTCCTTCTATCACTGCCTAGATCATATCTACTCTCTTTTCGTACATGTACGTATTTGGGGTGGCCTTGGATTTGAGTCTTAATGGCATGCGTTGCTGTATCCATTAATTTCCTTATTGCCCAGGCTGAGGAAAGCTGGGAGCAGTATGAGGAAGTAGCCGCTCCCTTGATGAGCTGGATCGGCGACAAGCAAGGCGAGCTGGATGGCTGGGAATTGCCGCAGGACTTGGAGGCTGTGGAGGTCAGTGTTCATAACGATTGTGTCTGCAGTCCAGGGTGACAATAATGTTGTAATAGTGACCCAGTTGAAATGAATCCTGGAAAGCTCAAAGAAGAGAAATGTACCGGCTGAAAAGCCAACTTTTCAAGCATACTTTGAGTACATTAACCTTACCTCTATACGCCTTTTCAAGCATACTTTGAGTACATTAACCTTACCTCTGTACGCCTTTTCAAGCATACTTTGAGTACATTAACCTTACCTCTATATGCCTTTTCAAGCATACTTTGAGTACATTAACCTTACCTCTATACGCCCATCCACCTCTTTTCAGTTTGCGTGATAAAGGAGAATTTAGACTCGGGTGGAGAGTCAAGGATTAAATATAAGAAGAAAAGAGGACTAAAGAGCTACAAGTTACGCTATAATATCCACTAGGGGTACTTTACAATCAGCTCATGCGATAACATTGCACAACACTGACCAAACGGTACTGACGTTCTACAACTAACTGGCAATCAGCTCTAGCACATCTCGGATGCGCACTCCAACAGCCTTCCAACTTGCGCTCACCTCCCCCTCCTTATTTCTATAACTTAGAACCTTCCAAGTTGGAAGGCTGTTGGAGTGCACGTCTGAGATGTGCTAGAGCTGATTGCCAGTTAGGTGTAGAACGTTAGTACCGTTGGTCAGTGTCGTGCAATGTTATCGCATGAGCTGATTGTAAAGTAACTGGTGGTGTTAGTGCATATCATAGTGTATCTTGTAACTCTTTGGTCCTCTTTTCTTCTGCTTTTCAAGCTATACAATAATCTGATTTGCAAGTACATGTAAAGAAGACCCAATGCTGTAGGCAGCAAGCTGTTTCGGCCATAAAGGCCTCATCAGTTCAGCTACGAGCTGTAAAGAAGACCTTCTGATTGTATTAATGGTAACTTTGAAAACAATGTCATTCACCAAGTCCCTTCCCAATGTCTTCTCGCTTATGACGGCTGGCAAGCATTCTTGCCATTTTCACATGCCACCATCCTGTTTTGCTTCTATGCCTGTTCCTTTGGCTTTTATCAGGCTCTCCATTGCAAGCTTCAAGAGGAGGCTGAGTCAGAGGAATGGAAAAGCAATGCGCAAGCAAAGGATACTGCCAAAGAACGATTTGGTGTCTTTGAGGTAGGGCTTAGAAGGAGCATTGTGATTTTGTGTAGGGTTTTACAGTGGGAATTTTGTAAAAATCGATTTCGGTGTCATATGCCCTTCCATTGCCTGGTAAGTTTTCGTATCCTGCCGACCGGCACAGTGAGTACCAGGAGCCAGACTAGCTCGTCCACTTTGTAACGGACTGCCGGAATACCAGTGTCGTACAGCCTTGTTTGATGGCGATGGTGGCGGTGATGTTGGATGTTTGTTGTCCATCCTCGTTGCCATGAAGGGACTCCTGGGCCGGTGATAGAATCTCCATACTGGCGTGGCTGGCGGTGTCAGCTCCTCCTGGAGATCTCCGTGTCCGTTGTCCAACAAGCCCAGAATTTGCGGTCGACGTGACGGCGGAGGAACAGCACGCTGATTTTCTCAACAAATTCCATATCTTATTTGACCTGCCGGAGGGATTGAGAGGCCTCTGGTAGGTCAAGTGCGGCTAGGGCATTGGCGCCCATCATGATAGCATCTGTAGTGTACCACATCTGAAGACGGATCGGCAGCAGGGAGCACGACAGCGAATGGACCTGACGGGCCTACACCAAGTTGGTCGATCGTATAATTGTCACGTCGAGGGGACCTCGGAAACACTCATCACTAGGAGCCAGACACTCCTGACCACAGCACCAATTGAGATGATCCCGCCTTTCTAATCTATCTAATCATATGTAGATTCTGCCTTCTCGAAACGTACATAATACTGATAATGATTCTTTCTGTTCAGGATCTGAACTCGCACAGTCCCAATCCAGTGTCCGTGAAGGAAGGCCTGCACTACAGAGATGACATTGAGAAGGTATGGCTTTACTACACACCTGGTTGTCAGCTCACTATTGTAGCTGAAATAGTGTTCAGTTGACTATTCATATCATGCTCCGATCAACATTGATCATCATTGCTGCTTGCTGCTTGCTCCGATCATCATTGCTGCTTGCTTACCTGGTATTTGCATTCACTGTGCATGTGAGCTTGAGTCTCCCACCTCCGCACCTCCGCACTGTACACCTCCGCACCTCCGCACTGTACACCTCCGCACTGTACTTTTCCTGTTCTTGTCTTCCGTTTACCTATTCGCAGGCATGGAGCAAACTCATGGATGGAAGGAAGAGTCAAATGGAAGCGGTTTCTTCAGAGCTGGCACGGTAAGATGTCTTCAGGGTCCTGGCTCCTTCATGGAGTAACTCCTGCACTGCTTCATTTTTTCCTGTTTTTCTGCAACCCAGCAAGTGGTAAATACCAGTCCTGGCACCGCATTACAGTGATGTACAATGGAGAATGTTTACAGGAAATTTCTTTGTGCTTTGTGCGTGTTCTTCCTATAGTATGCAAGAACAGAAGTCGTCCCAAGATAAGGTGTGTGCTGTGTGCTATGTGCGGCGTGATGAGACAATTCTGATAGGAAGAGATACTACACTATAGTTGTGGACAAACAGAGACAGTGCACTGGTCTCCAACAGGTTATTTGAAAGTGTGGTGTTGCACGTCGTGTAAAGAAGTCTACCAAGAACATTGATTTGTATTTTACCTTACCCATCACTTTCGTCAAGAACTGGACGACAGTATATGTATCAACGAGCAACAAAGTTGTACTGGTTTCATTGTGCTGTGTGCATCTTTTGTGATTTCACTCTGCCAGGCTGATGGCAGCTGGGACCAGTATGAGGCAGTAGCAAGTCCATTGATGTCCTGGATCCAGGAGAGACAATCTGAAATTGATAATGCAGACAAGTCCAAGGGCAAAGAAGAGTTGGAGGTAAGGCGTCCACGTTGCAGTGCTCTACAACGTTTACCTATGCCCGCTGCTATTGCTCCAGAACGAAAATACGTATACATGATAAGCTTGTTGGTTTGTATACACAAGCATGATTTTGACATGTGGGTGTTATCAGAGGTAAAGCATGATCTGTGATTGTGTGATGTGGTGGTGTGTAGGCTCTTTTAGATCTAATGAACAATGATGAGGACTGGAAGCTCAAGTTCCCTGTCAAGCGCAACTCGGAGGACCTGTTCAGAACATTTCAGGTCAGTGCATGCCGCATGCAGCCCCGTGATCACAGCGATCAGGGGTATCTTTTTATAATAATAATGAGAGGATGAAAAAAGTGTTTTACTCCGAGTTTCACGCACTGCGTGAAATAGTGCGTGAAATTAGTGCGTGAAATTAGTGTGTGAAATTCGGAGTAAAACACTTTTTTCATCCTTTTATTGTTTGAACTAGCCCTGCCTTTCGGTATTGAGCACTGTATTGGACAGCCTGGAACCTCTCTGTTTTAATGCTTGCTGTTTACCAAGATCCTACATGCTAGCAACTAATTTATACTGGACGGCACTGGTGTGTGAAAGCCAGGTCAAGTGTCTGTCTAAAGCCACGATGACAGTCTAGTAGTATGAGTGTGCAACGAGTTATTTTACCCACACACCAGGTGTTAAGTCTCAAGTTGTCACCCTAACTTAGTCGGCTTTTCATGATCACACTGGTATGTACAGTAGTACTAACTGTTAGTGAGTGGCGCTTGATGTTTGCTCTTTTTCTCTGCACTGCAGGATCTCAATACATCGTGCCCGGCTCCTCTCTCCATCAAAGACGGTCTCCATTATGATGATGATGTGCTCAAGGTACAGACTTTTAATTAAACGAATCGCTAGAATTGATTGTTTCTCCCTTACAGACATGACATGTGTACCCTGTGTACTAGCAGTGAAAGAAACGTGATGGCTTATATTCTTGTCTGCCGTACCTTGAACCGCAGGCATGGAACAAGCTGATGGCTGGCAGAGACGACTTGATTTCAGCAATCACAGCGCAGATGAAAAGGTATGAGCTCAGCATTGCCCTTTGCCATTGCACTACCTAGTCAACAACAATACCTGGACTTGGATCATGCACATGTGCTAGCATGTTTTTCATGTCCCAAACCGCCTCAGTCTGCTGCTGCTGTTCCTTAGACTGAATATGTGAAGACACAGGTTAACGAGTGGTGGCCAATTCTTGGGTTACAGGTCCTTATAGAGACAGTGGTTCTTCGAAGCCTGAGCATCACAGCATACTTGCAGGCATATTAGCAGCATGCAGTACTCCTCATTGTGCCCTATGCGGCATGATTTTTGTGCGTTTTTCTAGATAATCCCAGTTTTCAATGATGGTCAACTGATGACCCAATCATTTTGTGTTCTTCATCTTGGCAACTGGGGAATGCTTGGTACAATGCTGGGTTTGACAAGCAAGAATTGTACATCACGCGTGCTGCTGGTTGGCCATTATCGTTTTGGGAACAATCATGATCAAGGGTGAACAGCGTACGCGCCTGGACTATGCCTTTGAGATCATGGCACAAACTCACAAGAAGCACCACTCAGTGATTTTTGAACTTGTATTTTTCCTTCTATCTACCACAATCATGTGCATTGAAGGATGCAGAACGAAGAAGCAGAGACTGAGAAGGTAACTAACTGTGGATGCATTTCAAGATTTGGTCTTTGATAGATGTGCTTGCAATTGTGGTGCTGGTTTGGATATGAATACACACTAGAATCGCCAAATAGCTTTGAATGGGAGAGGATTTAGTGTGGTTTCCTGCCAAAATTAATATGATTGAAATATCCATCTGAGAGCCTTAACTTGAAGGGGGGGGGGGGGGGTACGCCTATGCAAAGGGCAATGTATGAGACCAGTAACCCCCCCATTTACCTATACTTCTGCAGCAAGGATACTAAAATAGGGAGCTGATAGCAGTCCAGGCAGAGCAACGGATAGGGTTCAGTAGAACCCAGTGACAAGCGAATACGTTATATTTACTATTATCATCCCATTCAGACTAGCAAGAGAATATTGACAGCCACATTCATGCACACACGTAACTATAGCATACTGTAGTCGAATGACAGGTGACTGCTAAATTTTGGACACGATTCCTGTGCCACACATATCTGCAGGCCACTGGTATGTGGGATCAGTATGCAGCTGTGGCAGTCCCGCTCATGGCATGGATTGAAGAAAAACAAACAGAGCTGGATGAACAAGCAGTTCCAAGTGACCTGGAGGCGATCAAGGTATGTCTTTTGATAGTGTTGGTGGTGATTATCTGTGTGTGTAGGGGGGGGGGGGGGGGGGGGGAGGGGGAGTGGCAGGCAGAGGAAACCGTCAAAATCCAAGAAGCACGCATAATTGAAAATTGTTGTCTCTTGCTGGAGTTGCACCATTGATTAATAAATGAGTGGATTAACTCGGATGGTGAGCCAATATTATAAGTTTAGAGAAAGGACCAATAAGTTATGAGTTATGACTAACAGTCCACCAAGGCAACGAGATCTTATACAGTCAGATAGTGCGACAGCAAGGCGCAAAACTGACGAGGATATTGAGACATTCGACGATCTAAAATCTAGCTCCAACACATCTAGGTGTTAGGTCGTCAAATGTCTCGATATCCTTGTCAGTTTTGTGCCTTGCTCTCGCACTATCTGACTGTATAAGATCTCGTTACCTTGGTGGACTGTTAGTCATAACTCATAACGTATTGGTCCTTTCTCTAAACTTAAAATGAGTGTCTGTTTGGATGGTGTGCATGAATGTACAACTGAATGCAATCAAATCAACTCCGTATGTGCTTTAGGCTACCTCCTCCCTTACTCACCTAACAGTTTATGTTTCTTTGGCTGGACAATGTACAATATCGTTTTTCATTGAAGGTGTACCTGGACCAACTGAAGGAGGAGAAGACATCGGATGAATGGAAGAGCAAATCAGGTTCAAAGGACACCGCAGAGGAGCTGTTTGTGGCCTTCAAGGTTAGAACTAGGCATCTGTGCATGTCAATCAACTTGCTCCAGTTCTGATGTGCTTTCAATACCAGAATATTCCAGCTTTGTGTCGGGCAACTCAGTTATTTAGGTATTCGTTTGTTGTGTGTTTTAACGTGCTGTACGTGCTGCACGTGTGTGTGTGTGTGTGTATGTGTGTGTGTGTGTCTCTCTCTCTCTCTGCACATATGTGTATGTGAGGATGTGCGAGTGTGTGTGTGTGTGCACGAATGTGTGCATGCACTTATCCGGGTGCGTGTGTGGGCATGTGTGCGGTTGAACTTGTGCATCCATGGCTGGATTTGTGTATGTGTGTGCGTGTGTATGTGTGTGTGTGTGTGTGTGTGTGTGTGTGTGTGCGTGCGTGCGTGTTTGCGTGCGTGCGTGTGTGTGTGTGTGTGTGGTTGTGTGTGTGTGTGTGTGTGTGTGTGTGGCTGCATGTTAATGCATGTCCTGATTGGTGTAGAAACAACTGGTCTACTTGTCCACCCCATTACCTATCAAAGAAGGACTCCACTTCTTTGATGACATGGAAAAGGTAAATACTAATTAGATGTCCTATTAATATAATATATATTCATGGATACATGCTATATTATAATTATGAATCAGTATAGAAAGGCAATGTACGCTTTTCTTGCTCTTGTCCGCAGCCAACCCTGCACTAGTTATGGCTGATGTGAAGTGTGAGAAAGAAGTGATAATAGCAGAAAAACGAAAAGAGGGGTTGTATGTACTTGGGGAAAGGAAGCTTTAAAAATGTATTCAACGTACATGTAGCCTGAAGTGGCGACCCCGCTCTTCGGCGCCTGATATTACTTTATCCTACCCCGATTTGACTTGAGACCCATATTTTAGTTTTATCATCAACGAGATGGGGAACTGTACTGTGTGCCTCTGATTATTCCCTGGTCATTCTCTGCAGGCCTGGAACAAGCTAATGGAGGACAAGAATCAACACATCTCTGAAGTTGACAGCAACTTAAAGAGGTACCAACGATGACAGCACATGAGGTGTTCTGACTCGTGCAGTTGTATGTCGTGACTATCCATGCAGTGCATGCTAGAACAGAACTTCTACCAGGATTGAATAGTAGGCAATGATGTAACATATTGCACAGGTGCATGCATAATCATGTAATCCACCTGCACCAGGCAGTAGCTAAGCAGGCCAGGCCACGTGTGTCACACTGTATAATGCTGTGTACACACCCAGCACACAGCCATAGTATATACAGTTATGCATGCCTTCCAGTTGCTGTGCAGCTGGCTTGCATTCTCCAGTTATATCATGGTGTTGAATCCATAAGACATCAAGCGCGGCAAGCTAGTTCAGTGTCAAGATCATCAGTGCTCTCACTAGCATGCACAGGCTTGCAGTGAAACATGACAAAACCCTATAGTACTTCTGGTCTGGACTGGTTTGTATAGTAGTGATCTCTTTCTTTTTGATCCGCTTCCTGCACCCCAGGCTCCAAGATGAGAAAGCAGCCCAGGAAAAGGTAATTATCCCCTGGATTATAGTAGTGGGTCTTAATCAGGAAAGGGTTTGCTCCCCACACTGGAGCTCACCGGCGGCTATTCCGCCGACTTGACTTGACACTTGATGTGAATCAGCAACAGACACATACCACTGTGTCGAGCACATTGTCTCATTTCATTTGGAAGGATTGAATATGTTCTCAACAGATCTACACATATATTTTATTTTGTGACTGTACTGTGTAGTACGTCGTAAGCCATAGTAGCTGCTTGTCTACCAATTACCTGTGCATCGATGTGTGTGGAAAGGTGGCTATTACACCTATGAATACGTGTGCGCCGAAGAGCTGGATTCAGTCCATGTGCAGCTATCATGTAGCTCAGCATGTTGTTCTCTATTGAAGGAGACAATTCTATTACCCTCTCTCCCGCTTTCTGCACTTGGCACCTGACTGCTGAGATGCTCACATGACAGTTCTCATTTCTTTTCCTACTCGGTTGTGTCTTGGATAACAGGATATCCAGCTGCTGAATGTAGTACACATTGGGCTGCGTGCATGGGAATCGACCAAAAGGTAATCTCAGTTTTGCTTATTGCTTTAATTTCACGCAGAGTGAAGCTTGCTGGCAAGCCTATGAAGACACCGCCTCGCCGCTCATGGCCTGGATTCAAACAGAACAAGACTCCGTGCATGCCGTTGCAGTGCCTGAAGATCTGGAAGAATTGAAGGTAAGGAGAAGAAGCGGTTAAGGTGTCAGTAGAATAACGCTGACCACTCCAGATCAGTGTAGTTTGGTAGAGAACGAATAGTTGAGGTAACTTTTTCGCAATGAACAAATTGTTGCTGATTTGACACGTGGCGTGCTTGTTTGTTATCTTACAGGCTCTCGTGGATGATCTCCAGAAGAAAATTGAATCACCGGAATGGACTGAACAGAAAGGCAACAAGGAGAAGGCCGGAACCTACTTTTCAGAGTTCTTGGTAAGTAACCGATGGAGTCATGTTTTTCCTTGAAGTAAATCATTCCCTGCTATCATTATGTTCAACAATTTCAGGGAATGACACGAACGGGAAAAATCTAAAGAAAAAATTGACTGTCGCCACCAGGATTCGAACCAGGGACCTTGACTGTCGCCACCAGGATTCGAACCAGGGACCTTCGCTTGAGGCCAGCGATGCTCTAACCACTGAGCTAAGGTGTAGGCGTCATCCCAGCAGAGACCGTTCAACATTTTCTTCGGACTTCGTTGCTCACACTTCCTGTGAATCCACACAGGCGGGTGGGACGCATTATGTTCATTATGTTCCCTACACATTTGCATTGTTGTGGGGTATCTTTTGGCGCATATAATCATTGTACTTCTCTGGTGGTCATGGTGTTGTGTTTCTTTCTGTAGGATGCTAACTCCCAGTGCCCAGAGCCTGTCTCAGTGAAGGATGGTCTGCACTACGATGACGATGTACAGAAGGTGAGTGGCTGCTTTTCTATGCCTATGTGGCTGGCATTTTCTAAACATTCGCTCTGAGTACATCATCATATTTATCGTTCTTTGTTCTTCTTCCTGCGCGGTTTAGGCTTGGGATGCATTGATGACAAGTCACGAGGCTGCACTGCACGCTGCGCAAGAACAACTTGCCAAGTAAGCCAATATTCTCTCTACACGTATGTTATAGTCTCATCATTGTTTGTCAGCAATTGAAGTACCCATTTTGAGCATTAACACCGTGAGTCCGTGTTGAAGTGATCTAGTTTTAAAAAGGTATACAGTTCACCTAGCACTCACACTGCATTTTTTATGTGCCCATATTGTCCATGGTGATTGCACCAAGAAGGCTGCAGGATGAAAAGGCAAAGCAGGAGAGAGCCGAGGAAAGCTGGCAGCTGTATGTGGCCACTGCTGGACCACTGTCGGAGTGGATATCCAAGAAGGATGAAGAGCTCAAGAGTCTTGAGTTGCCAGCCAGCATTGAAGCTGCCCAGGTCAGTTGGTGTGGAAAACATTATTTTCCTGCGGAGTCCTTTTCGAACACAGTGTGGCATTGCTGGTACTCGTTTGAACATAATAAGAGAATGGGAATGGGTTTTGGCCTCTTTGTTGATGCCATGAAGTAAAGCAGAGTGGAAACTTTTGGGGGACAGGTAACGGGTAAATTGGCTATAATTATGTGTCATTTCTCTTATTGCAGGAGTTACAGGAGGCACTAACCAACATGAAAGACTCGGAAGATTGGGCAACCCAGGCTGGAAACCTTGAAAAAGCAGACAAGCTTTTCAAGGACTTTGAGGTACGTGTTTGTATTGTGTTTTGCATGTTCACTGCGCTCTGCACCTAGGTTGTAAGTTTGCGGCCTTTTAAAAAGGATGACACTGCCGATTGTTACAACACAACACCGTTTGATTTGAATCGTGATCTGCTGATGTTTCAGTTTCCTGTTCATTATTTTGTGTTCCTGTGATAGGTGGCCAATAGCGAAAGCAAGACTCCAGTTTCGGTTACAGCTAGCCTGCATATGAGTGATGACATTCAACCAGTGAGTTATGACACATGGAGTGGTGTATGCGTGTGTGTGTGTGTGTGTGTGTGTGTGTGTGTGTGTGTGCGTGTGCGTGCGTGTGCGTGTGCGTGTGCGTGTGTGTGTGTGTGTGTGCGGGCGTGCGTGCGTGTATGTGTGTGTGGGGGGGGGGGGAGCGCGCATGTGCGTGTGCATGTGTACGTATGCTTATGTGTACTGTGGTTGTACATGCATGTGCATGCATGTGCGTGCAAGCATGTGATTTCAAGCAGGCCTGAGTGCTATTGTCTTCCAGTGCCTCCGCTATCTAAAGCGTTGCACTCGTGCCAGTGATGTTAATGTATGTACTGACTGAACTCCACTCATTGCTGCTGCTGCTCTAGGCCTGGGACAGTCTGATGAAGACCCTGGATGATGTGCGAGATAATGCTGCAGCTGATCATCTTGTCAAGTAAGTGAACACAGGCGTGCTAGTTGAGTAGTAACTGTTGTGTATGTGAGTGTAGCAGTATACTGTTGCAGTGATGACTGGGAAGCAGCTTTTCAATGGCAGGTGAGTGTAGTGGAATAGGTACATGCGTTCTCTATGCCTGTTTGGATGCCGCAGTATGTACCGTCATTGGTCAATGTGACTTGTCGTCGGTCTGACATCAGACCCCCGATCATACTGGGGCCCTCTAACCTATTAAGCGGTATAGCACATGGTGATCCTCTCAGGGTTTTGACTTTGTGGTACTCGAATTTTGCCAACTGGTGTGTGGATGCAACAACTGTGACTGTCTGAATGCCTTCTATTCCCACACGGTGAGCTCGACGATTATGGTGAATAATGACATTGTTGCTTCCAGTCAATGTGTGATAGTGTCTGTTTGTGCCAATAAGGCAATACGGTGGTGTCTCATGTTCACTGTGATGTTCATCCAGGCTAAAGAAGAAAGCTGAACTGGACCATGCCCTCGAGCAGGTATAGCCCCCCCCCCCCCCCCCCCCCGTGTTTCAATCTACACTGAGTTACTCTCAGTACATGTATGTCACTTAGTGTGTAGACTGCTTATGTAACCATTGAGAGAATCCACTCCAGTGTTCCCGATTGACATGAACTGAACCATTCTCATGTTCAGTATGTGTGAATGTACACTGTGCAACATGTTCACTGGTCAGCTGGTCTTACTATGGCTTTGTCTCATGTGTTATTGGTTGGCAGGTGGAGATTGTTTGCGGAAGCCTGGAAGATATCAAAGACAAAGTGGAGACCGTGAGTGAATTCAACAAAATGCTTTTTCATCCTGTGGGCCTTTGCCAGATGATGCTGTATTCCTGATTTGTAACCAGGCTGTGTTACAATGAATGCATGAAGTTCATGCTATGCAATGACCATGCGCTGCGCCTTCGTCATCCCGGCTGTCCACAGTCACTTTCGTCATGATGTCCTCAGATCTGATTATCTGATTTCTTCTTTGCATTGGCATTGTTGATTCCAGTTCCAAGCAGATCGAGGAGAGCCAAGTACTCGTGACAACATGAAGATCACTGTTGGTGAACTTCAAGACGAGCTTAAGGTAGGCAAGCCAACTGCCAACTGTCAACCGCCCAAGCATTTGCATTCTTCAACAGTTCTTTGGGTGGATGCACGTGCGTGTGTGCGTGCGTGTGTGCGTGTGTGCATGTGTTATGTGTGTTGGCAGGATGTATGGGTGAAGCGTATGTGTATGGCCATACCATCAGATTTTCTCAGACTATGTGCCGGGATACCAAAGAAAATTGCTGGCATTTGGCAGGGAAACACAAATATGATCAGAAAACAATCGAGCCATTGATTATTAGCCAACCGGGTAGATTCCCTGTGGCCTACCGACACTGTATGCAAGACGATTCCTGTTGGTTCTGTCTATCACATCTCAGGACTGGCACAGGCTGCATGAGGAGGTGAAGCAGCTGTGTGGTGAACTGGACCAAGCACCTGAGCACTTTCCCGAGGATGCAAGAAAGAGGTAAGCAATGCCAAATCATGACCTGATTTAACCTGGAGCCTGCAAGCTCCATATAACAACATGTGTGTGTGTGTGTGTGTGTGTGTGTGTGTGTGTGTGTGTGTGTGTGTGTGTGTGTGTGTGTGTGTGTGTGTGTGTGTGTGTGTGTGTGTGTGTGTGTGTGTGTGTGTGTGTGTGTGTGTGTGTGTGTGTGTGTGTGTGTGTGTGTGTGTGTGTGTGTGTGTGTGTGTGTGTGTGTGTGTGTGTGTGTGTGTGTGTGTGTGTGTGTGTGTGTGTGTGTGTGTGTGTGTGTGTGTGTGTGTGTGTGTGTGTGTGTGTGTGTGTGTGTGTGTGTGTGTGTGTGTGTGTGTGTGTGTGTGTGTGTGTGTGTGTGTGTGTGTGTGTGTGTGTGTGTGTGTGTGTGTGTGTGTGTGTGTGTGTGTGTGTGTGTGTGTGTGTGTGTGTGTGTGTGTGTGTGTGTGTGTGTGTGTGTGTGTGTGTGTGTGTGTGTGTGTGTGTGTGTGTGTGTGTGTGTGTGTGTGTGTGTGTGTGTGTGTGTGTGTGTGTGTGTGTGTGTGTGTGTGTGTGTGTGTGTGTGTGTGTGTGTGTGTGTGTGTGTGTGTGTGTGTGTGTGTGTGTGTGTGTGTGTGTGTGTGTGTGTGTGTGTGTGTGTGTGTGTGTGTGTGTGTGTGTGTGTGTGTGTGTGTGTGTGTGTGTGTGTGTGTGTGTGTGTGTGTGTGTGTGTGTGTGTGTGTGTGTGTGTGTGTGTGTGTGTGTGTGTGTGTGTGTGTGTGTGTGTGTGTGTGTGTGTGTGTGTGTGTGTGTGTGTGTGTGTGTGTGTGTGTGTGTGTGTGTGTGTGTGTGTGTGTGTGTGTGTGTGTGTGTGTGTGTGTGTGTGTGTGTGTGTGTGTGTGTGTGTGTGTGTGTGTGTGTGTGTGTGTGTGTGGTATAGCCGATGTAATAGTCTCCAGATTGCCGTGACAACGTGCATGTACTTGTAGCTAAACCTGTTCTATTGTTTGCCCCGTCTGGACTCTGCACAGTATATCGGAGATGGATGCTTTACCCGACATCGCTGATGTACTTGCCAAGAGAATCACTGCATCTGACGATGCTCTAGTCATCCTGGGCTCTGTGGATGAGATCATGGAGGTTTCTTTCGGCAAGGTGTGTATACTAAGCTAGTCGGAACTGTGTCCCCGAAAGTGCATCAACACCCTGGGCGTTAATCTGATGTGGGGTTTCGCTGGCAAAATGCATCAACACTGGGTAAATCCACTGTTGGCGAAGCCGGCAGTTGCACTGTTTGTGTGCACGCAGTGTACCGTTGTGTGCTGCTCTCTGATTTGCACATTCTTTCCAATGTCAGTCAGAACACTGTGTCAATGCATCGCACCTTGCCTGCCGACTAACATTAAAACTTAACATGCTCAATGTGGATTTGCATACCAAAAACTGTGTGTGTCTTTCCAGGCTTTTGAGGAGAATTATGACACATTCAAAGAGAAAGTGGATCGGCTGAACAGCGACCATGCTGCTTACCAGGCCAAGCAATCAGAGCAGCTGGGCGAGAGTGGCAGCAACCCACATGACCTGGAGCAGCAAGTCAATGCCTGCTCCGTGCACTGGAAGGACCTGTGCTCGCTACTGAGCTCCGATGTGGGCAAGCCAGTTGAGGATGCTGACGCGTGGCTGCAGAGCATAGAGGATCGCCTGGAGAAGCACAGTCCCCTGCTACACCGCTCCAATGATGTTGAAGACAAGCAACTATCACCGCTCAAGGTACATTGGCAAGTGTTAACGAAAGCATCTTGTGCTTAACATTTGAAATAGAACTTAAAAACAGCAGCTTTGTTCTGTGATTTGCCTTGTGTGTTCTTTGAAACGTTCCCAAGTGTTGAATATGTTTTCCCTGACATCCATTTGTTTGTTTTAGATTCTAAGTGTTGAGGTATCGTCGCGTGTACCTGGAATTCTGGACATTGCAAAGCGAGGAGAAACGGTTACTGTGACAGATGGTGGCCTGGATGTGAAAATGCTCGCAGCCAGTCTGCCGCAGAGACTGCAGGCAATCAGTGCGGAGTGTGAGAATCGAGTGAAGTGTGCACAGCTGGAGGTTGCTTCACTCTCACAGTATGAGTCGCAGTTGAATTCCCTGAAGAACTGGCTGGCTTGGGCGGAAGGTGAACTTGACAGCCTAAGACGTCGCCATGATGAGCCCAAGGCAATCCAGGGACAAGTTGCTCAATGTCAGGTAAGACGTTGTCGTGAGGCTCACGAACTATGCACATGCCGTCCACACGTGCTGCGTCATAGATAGTCGTTGTGCACTCGTGGCCGTCTGCTATAAACTGATGGTCAAAATTCTACTAAAAATATGGCAGTTGACAGTTGGTGATCGAAGTATGAAGTACTTGGAAGTACACATGGTTATTATCGCTAGCGTCAAAGAAAGTGATGTATTGCCAATATTTCCTATAATGCAACAGACCGATAGCAAAAGGCTGGACAGACCAATGCCGCGGATACCTGTGCATATCTCTCCGGACAAAATGCAGTAGTATTTGCTTGATGAAAACGAATACTGTTCAGACCAAGTACTTTAAAAATAGCCTTGAAAGATGAAGCTACTGTACGTATAGGCTCTCCCAAAGTATGTCGTGAGTGTTACCTTGAACAGGATGTCTTCTATTTCTGTTCGTACCGTACAGAAATTGTTGTCAGATGTGCTAGCACACGAGCCCTATGTCTCTGCGACGTCCAAGCATGGTGACGAGTCAGTTGATATTGCAAAGGTACTGTATGTCCAGGTCCTCTTTTCTCCGTTGTTTTCACTGATATGGATCTGACTTGCCGGCTTTCTTGTCAGCGCCCCTGCACTGTCTCTCACTGATATGGATCAGACTTGCCGGCTTTCTTGTCAGCGCACTGCACTGTCTCTCACTGATATGGATCAGACTTGCCGGCTTTCTTGTCAGCGCACTGCACTGTCTCTCACTGATATGGATCAGACTTGCCGGCTCTCTTGTCAGCGCACTGCACTGTCTCTCAATAAAGGTTTCTTTTCTATGAACTCGTGCATGCTGGTTTTTAAATACAGTGTACTGTGCAATTTGTGCCCAGAACTTCGACACATTGGTGGATGAGTATAGGACTGCGCTTGAGGGCTCAACTGTATCCGAATCTCAGACACTTGAAGCAGCTCTGGACGAGGAATACAAACACGAGAAAGAGCCAATAGCAAGAGATGCAATACCAAGTGAAGTGGGAGAGGTGAAGCAACAGTATGATGTGAGTAGTATGATGACCTGGTATTTTCGTTGTCTGTTGCTGATAACCCTCCTTTTGTTTACTTTCTCGGTACTTGATCTTTACGTTGATCAGTAATGGCAAGATGCGAAACTTGGTGGTGGATTATCATCATCATCCTAGCATTGCCATCACATGACACGTTCCACTGCCTTAGGAGCGGAATAGCAGTGTGCAGCCCAAGCCTGCGTCCCTGTCTCCACACCTGGGCATGTTCTCAGGGAGAGAAAAACCTGTCCAAGACATGACATCATCAGCATAGCTTAAACGGGGTCCGCTGTGCTTGCGGGAACCCTCCAACAAGCCAAAAGCTGAATCACAAGTGAGCCAACGACCTTGATGATGACAACTATGATTAGGTGATAACTCATGCCTACGAATTTCGGAAGGCAGGGTGCGTGATGATGTACCTACAGTAGAACACCGATTATCCGGGCGTTAATTATTTGGATCAGTGATCGATTATCCGGAACACCTGATCAGGCTGGGCGAAAACAATAGCAGCTTCTTCAAGGTTTTACCTGATTTTCCCCCACTCGGTGCACCATTCAAGCGATCCACGAGATGTATTTCGATAGCCTTAGTTGAGTCAAAATATATAACGATAGTGTCATTTTGAGGAGGTGGAGTGCACATAATTCCTGTTGTACTGCCGAAGGGAATGAAAATGATGAAAGCATGCGGAAATATGCATGTTTTAGATAGATGTGTCTGCTCCCTTATCCGAGCATTCTTTTCATCCAAACTCTGGAGAGAGCCCGCGCCCAAGGGGGTGCTGATATTCGGCACTCTACTGTACATTGTCATTGCTCTAAAAGACTCTCATGAGATCGTGTGTGATGGATACTGGTGACAAAACACGTGTGTTTCATAAACTCTATCTGCAATGTACAGGTGCTAGTGAATGTTGTAGTGATATGATCTCATGATTAAACACTAATGCTGTCCTCTTGCTATTCCTAGAACCTTGTGAATGTGTTTCAACGTCGCCTCCTACGCCTTGAAAGCAGGCTGGAGAAGGCCACTCATGTTCAGGGTCTCTTCGACAAGCTGAAAGCTTTCTTGGCGGGTAGTGAGGAGACCTCTTTGCTGGGAGAGTCGTCACTACTGCCAGCTGATGTTGATGTGCTGGAGCACCACATCGGTGAAGTGAACTCGCTCACGGAGGCCATTGAGGATAGTTTTGTCATCCTGGACAGTGCCACAAGTGCATTAGAAGACTTCGAGACAGACGTAGAGGAGGACGAAATCAGTTCCAAGGATGGTGATCAGACCGACTCTCCTGGCGTGGTGAGCATGTCTTCTTGCGGTGGAATGATGACACGAGGGAATTTCAGTGAAATGGTTTGGCCTTTGCTCCAGCAGAGCATAGCACAAAGGCAGTGTATTGAGAACATAGCACAAAGGCAGTGTATTGAGAACCATGCCTCGCATGTTATCCCCAAGCTACTCCTTTCAAACTGTAGAATGAAATCTTGTCCTGCTTGCTTTCGTCCAACTGCCACTGGGAATGTGAAATGAATGGAATTGAAATCAGAACTGGCATGTATTCACTCTTCAAATTGCGATGCTGGCAAATGGCATGGTTCCAGTGCATGGCATGGTTCCAATGCATGGGATGGCTCCGATACATGGGATGGTGCCAATGCATGGGTTGGCTTGCATGCTTAACTGATCCAAACTGCTGCTGCTACTAGGTGTGATAAGCGACTTGGTCCTTGCTATGATCCTGTGTCACTTCAGCTCTCGGTGCTGGGCAGTGCCCTGAGGACCCTCAGGGATAAATCTGCAAATAGCCTGTTGCTGTTGAGCGGCCTGAAAACTCAGCTAGACGAATTCAACGATGTCTGCGGTAGCCTTTCCGAAGCCATGGGTCAAATTGAAGCCGAGTTCCACGCCGAAGAATCAGCATCGTGTGACGTTGACGTACTAGAGATGCAGGTTCAGCACACCGCTGTAAGCTCTAGTGTCTATACTCCTTTAGTCAGTAAGACCTAAGGTGCCGGATTGATGGTGAAAATGTGGGCTTTGACGTACAGTGACCAGCGCTCTGTGACTCATATGCACCGGCACACAGCGACTAAATGCTTCCATTGCCTGGCCTTTCCAGGGCACAGTCAAATCTGGCGAGCAAACCTACTGCCAGTGTATATCATTTCCAGGTGAAATGAGTGGCTCACTGGGTTAATACTGTAAGGACCATTCTCTGTGCAGAGATGTGCCATGCCGCCGTTCATTGGGTACATCTTCCAGTGCAGATGGTGATCCGAAGTGAGCAGGGGTATCAGTAGAACCACTTGCGCTTACTTGGTGTACCGCAGGCAGGCAGTGTACGGATGAGCCTGAACCGTTCGCCCATACTCGCCTACACAATGCAGACGGTTTTGCTTACTAGTATGCTGGAGGCCTGTCCTCGCCACTGGAAACGTTGCACTACTAGTACGCCTGGTACGAATGAATGAATGAATACCTGGTACACGCAGTGTTCAGCTGAATGGATGGTAGATACTACTTTTGAAGTAATACTTCAGTACATGTACATGTACATGTACATATGGTTTGAAACGGCCATGAACATGAACATGAACATAATGGAGCCTACATGGGTAAGTGTGCCATCATCCTCTCCTAATCCTGATTGGGAGATGGGAATCCTCTCCTAATCCTGATTGGGAGATGGGAATCCTCTCCTAATCCTGATTGGGAGATGGGAATCCTCTCCTAATCCTGATTGGGAGATGGGAATCCTCTCCTAATCCTGATTGGGAGATGGGAATCCTCTCCTAATCCTGATTGGGAGATGGGAATCCTCTCCTAATCCTGATTGGGAGATGGGAATCCTCTCCTAATCCTGATTGGGAGATGGGAATCCTCTCCTAATCCTGATTGGGAGATGGGAATCCTCTCCTAATCCTGATTGGGAGATGGGAATCCTCTCCTAATCCTGATTGGGAGATGGGAATCCTCTCCTAATCCTGATTGGGAGATGGGAATCCTCTCCTAGTCCTGATTGGGAGATGGGAATCCTCTCTCGCCATCTCTGGTATGAAGACTGCATTACTTCATTTTACTCACTTGGCAATGAGATAAATTGAGACCTGTGCTTGTAGATAGAGTCATCTTCTAACAGTATGGGACTGAGCGCATTCATCACCGTCTTGGTGACTCATAAGCCTTGCACCTCACACACAGTCATTTCCCTTGTTGCAGCCAGTACAAATGTTGCTTTGAATGGTGACATGTGGTTTGAATTTTGATACAAGATGAAGTAAATCAGTGAGCGATAAACTGGGAGAATGCAGCATACCGCTTTGAAGTCAGATGTCAGATGTCAGATATCAGATGCAGTGTGAATGAATCAGTTGGTCAAGAGTATCGTTCCTGACTGAAGATCTTACAGACATGCACAGTGTGGGCCTTAAGGCGAATTCTCTTGCGCTCATCTGATCTCGAATTTTGTTTTGTCTACTATCTACTTTCAGAACTTGATGGCGAAACTCAAAGGCCAAGAAGAGCTTGTGGACAAAGCCAGAACTATCTGTGCAGCTCTTGTTGCTCGCCAAGACTTACAAAGCGAAAGCAGGGAGAGCCTGGAGCGACAGCTACGAAGCCTGCAAGACTGGTACAGCAAGTTTGTGTCACTGTCGACGATCCGCATGGACCAGCTGCAGAAGACAAAGGCGTGCTTATCAAAGTTCACCGATCTGCACCGCGCATTCTGTGAGTGGCTGGGCACTGCCGAAGTGCAAGCTGCCAACCAGAGTGCTATCAGCGTGGACTGCAGTGCGCTGCAGCAGCAAGACCAAGACAGCAAGGTCAGCCAGAACCTGAAGAAACTCACCGTGTCATTTTCCTGTGCTTCTGAGTCCGATAAATGCAGGCGTGTTTGTACATCTGTAGTAGTAGCACTTCATGTAGTTGTAGTTGTAGTTGGGATGTTGCACTTAGTTGAAAGACACCCTGACCTGTGAGAATGGGTTATGCATAAGGAAGGACAAACTGCCTCCTGAGCTTCGTTGACTGGCATGGGCTCAGGGAGCAAAATGGGATATGGCAAAGCACTGGAGAGTCCAGCGCCCATGCCAGTATGCCAGAGCGCAGTGAAATAGCAACTACGCACAATGCTCATTATCCGAGCACCTCGTATCACAAATCTGCCTAGAGCCTGAAGAGAGATGCGTTGTGCTGCATTCTGCATTGCTTACACCCGCAGGCATTTATGGCTGACGTAGCTGGCAAGAAGCCAGACTTGGATGAACTGATCACAACTGGAGAACAGCTTGTCGATATCAGCAGCAAAACTGCATCTGAACTTTATACTCAACCAAGCACAGCTGAAGCAAAGGTACGTATCTACTGAAAATAGAGTATTGGAGGTACATGTGCGGTATGTATGTATGGTGTATGTATATGCATGCATGGATGTATGATGTTGCTGCTGCTGCTGCTGCTGCTGCTGCTGCTGCTGCTGCTTCTGCTGGCGCTGGTGCTGCTGCTGTTGAATAACAAAAAGAGCCTCTATGTCATTGTTACCTGGGCTGTACACTGGGAGTAGGGAGTATAACTTCTCAGAGGCCTGGTCACATACATAAGTTAGAACACCAGTACCCGTATGGCTGGTGTCAGATGCAACGGTTGTTTCTATTGTTTATTCTTGCATGTCCAATTGTCCATACAATCAGAGAGAGAGTATTGGGTTGCATGTCCATACAATCAGAGAGAGAGTATTGGGTTGCATGTCCATACAATCAGAGAGAGTATTGGGTTGCATGTCCATACAATCAGAGAGAGAGTATTGGGTTGCATGTCCATACAATCAGAGAGAGAGTATTGGGTTGCATGTCCATACAATCAGAGAGAGAGTATTGGGTTGCATGTCCATACAATCAGAGAGAGTATTGGGTTGCATGTCCATACAATCAGAGAGAGTATTGGGTTGCATGTCCATACAATCAGAGAGAGAGTATTGGGTTGCATGTCCATACAATCAGAGAGAGAGTATTGGGTTGCATGTCCATACAATCAGAGAGAGTATTGGGTTGCATGTCCATACAATCAGAGAGAGTATTGGGTTGCATGTCCATACAATCAGAGAGAGAGTATTGGGTTGCATGTCCATACAATCAGAGAGAGTATTGGGTTGCATGTCCATACAATCAGAGAGAGAGTATTGGGTTGCATGTCCATACAATCAGAGAGAGTATTGGGTTGCATGTCCATACAATCAGAGAGAGAGTATTGGGTTGCATGTCCATACAATCAGAGAGAGAGTATTGGGTTGCATGTCCATACAATCAGAGAGAGTATTGGGTTGCATGTCCATACAATCAGAGAGAGTATTGGGTTGCATGTCCATACAATCAGAGAGAGAGAGTATTGGGTTTGTACTAACGTTCGGGAACAAGCTACTGCTACCTACTCAACTGCTTTTGGTTAATTTGTACACCAAACTGAGATCTTCGTCAATCTACGGTGTTTTTTTTTTCGTTGGCAGGATTCTGATGTCGCACCAGGCCACGCCAGTGCTGCTGACACGGCTGAAGCTGGAGCATCCCAGTCCGATACTGCTGTCATTGAGAACACAAACTGGGTTCAAACCGAATGCCAGAAAGTGCCACAACGCTACGACAACCTGGCTGTGAGGTCTAGACAACGTGTCACGGATGTTGAGGTAAGGTAACCAAGTGCTCAGGTATAGTCTGCATTCTCCATTGTAGTGTATACTGCATTGTATTGTTCCAAGCTAAGTATACACACGGTGTTTCAACTTAGTGTGTGTGTGGGGGGGGGGGGGGGGGCACATAGAACTATGAGTACATTAACGAAGGTGCGCAACCCTGCATGTGAGGTCGGAAACGTGGACCTTCATTACAGATGCCCTTCTGATGGATCCTGGCAGTCCTGACCTGTGTCTGGCAGTCTAACACTGCACTCTTCAAACCTTGTGACATCAACGAGTTCTTGCTGTACTCTGTCTGGGATCGTCGGACGTGAACCATGAATTGCTGCTTGACTGCTCCCTACCTTAGTTGCACACTCTGCTTGATATGCTCCTTGAAATACAGGTACGGACGTTGATAGAACATGAAATTGTCTATTTGCGAAGACGATACAAACTGCATTCCTTTCTCTTCACCTCGGTGCTCTCTTCTGGGTTGTTCTTTTCTATTCTAACTCAGCGAATGCTCGGCCAGGTCAAGATCTACACGGAAGACAAGGGCGAGCTAGATACGTGGATGACTGCGACCACTGCAGACCTAGATGAGATCGAGGCATCCAGTGACGCAACTGCTGAGACGCTGCAAGATTACTTGGCTAAAGTACAGGTGAGACAGTGGACACATGAGATCACTTTCAACTTTCAGAGTTGCTCACTGGTGATAATCATGTAATTGTTACTGATTTTACTTATTGTCCTGGTGGTGACAGTCTATTTTGTTTCTTCAGACTTTTCCATTCCCTCAACTAGTTTAGATCTGACGTGTGAAGTGAACTTTCTCTCCCTCTGCTGTGTGATGGTGTTTCACTTAGGACATTGTGGTCGGTCTGGACAGCAGAGAGTCAGGGAAGGACTCGACATTGGACAAGGCCAGTGAAATTCTAGACGACTACAAATCACTGCTCGGTGAGGCACAGGAGGCATTCAAGACAGCGCCCGTGGATGATGAGGGTGAACCACCTGAAACACCCCCAGCTCCAGCTCTGGATGAAGCCAGCAGAAAAGCAGCTGCGGGTCTAGAGCAGGATGCCGCCGACACTGCAGACAAATGGAAAGACCTACGGCAACGAGCAGCGCGTCTTGATGGTCATCTGTCAGCGCGGCTGGACGTTGTGAAGGATGCAAGTACCGCCATGGATGGTCTGGCCAAGTCACTAGCAGAACTGTCCAGCAAGGTTGACACTCTGTCACCGATATCATGTGATCGGAAGCAATACGATGAGCAGCAGAAAGAAACGGAGGTGAGCTAGGGAAAGGGGGGAGTAGCTGTGTGTACCAGCTGAGCTAATGTTCTGCATTCCACTGTGATGAGACATATCCACTAAGAAAGTGTTGTGAGATAGTATGGCTGTTAGGATGATTGCCCTGGGAAACTACCATGCTTAGTCTGCATGCACTGCACCAGTTGAGTATTCCACTTCAATCCACTGTGACAAGTCATTGAGATATCCTTCCACTGTAATCTCCCCTGCATTGGTGCGATGAGTGTGTTCCGAAATGCCATGCTCTTGTGCTCTGCAGCTTCTTCAACTGGACCTGGCCAAGATCAAAGCACAGTTTAGTGTCCTGGATAATGCAGCTGAGGTATCCCCTGACCTGGCAGCTGCCCGGCAAAACGCTACTGAGCAATGTGATACTCTGGAAAAGCTGATGTCCGGAAGGTATGGGATCGACTTTGGGCGCATCTGTTGCTGTGCGCCAAGCTAGTTGGAAACTGGAACACCATAGGGCTTGAAGCTTGAACATCGTAGGGCTTGGAAATACTGGGACACAGCCAGGCCGAAGTCATGACAGAGCTGACTTAGGGATCCACTTGGATCAGGTGTTTTTTGGCTGGATCCACGCGTGCGTTTGGGTGGTTTTCCTACGCATTAAGGTGACACGTCTGACGGTAGTGGCAGAACTGGACCCTGCTGGTCGGGGACCCACTCCTGGTCGAGGACCCACTCCTGGGCGGGGATCCACTCCTTGTAAAGGAACATCACACCTGCATGCGACACGGGTGGCAGGCAATCACGTGTGCGGAGAGGTTTGGACTCATTTGAATGTATGCTGTGTCCTTTTGTTTTGTTTTTGCTAGGCTTTCAGCGTTTGAGAAGTGTGGAGAGCTGCTCGGTGCTGATGAAAGCCTGGGAGATTGGATGGATGAGAAAGACAGCACTCTTGAGCACCTTCTAGCATCACCAAGCCGAGCTGCAATAGAGGTAATATTGGGCAGTAGAGTTAATAATGGGCAGTAGAGTTAATAATGGGCAGTAGAGTTAATAATGGGCAGTAGAGTTAATAATGGGCAGTAGAGTTAATGTTGGGCAGTAGAGTTAATATTGGGCAGTAGAGTTAATGTTGGGCAGTAGAGTTAATATTGGGCAGTAGAGTTAATAATGGGCAGTAGAGTTAATATTGGGCAGTAGAGTTAATAATGGGCAGTAGAGTTAATATTGGGCAGTAGAGTTAATAATGGGCAGTAGAGTTAATAATGGGCAGTAGAGTTAATAATGGGCAGTAGAGTTAATAATGGGCAGTAGAGTTAATATTGGGCAGTAGAGTTAATATTGGGCAGTAGAGTTAATAATGGGCAGTAGAGTTAATATTGGGCAGTAGAGTTAATGTTGGGCAGTAGAGTTAATGTTGGGCAGTAGAGTTAATAATGGGCAGTAGAGTTAATAATGGGCAGTAGAGTTAATAATGGGCAGTAGAGTTAATATTGGGCAGTAGAGTTAATAATGGGCAGTAGAGTTAATAATGGGCAGTAGAGTTAATATTGGGCAGTAGAGTTAATATTGGGCAGTAGAGTTAATATTGGGCAGTAGAGTTAATGTTGGGCAGTAGAGTTAATAATGGGCAGTAGAGTTAATATTGGGCAGTAGAGTTAATGTTGGGCAGTAGAGTTAATAATGGGCAGTAGAGTTAATGTTGGGCAGTAGAGTTAATAATGGGCAGTAGAGTTAATATTGGGCAGTAGAGTTAATATTGGGCAGTAGAGTTAATATTGGGCAGTAGAGTTAATGTTGGGCAGTAGAGTTAATGTTGGGCAGTAGAGTTAATGTTGGGCAGTAGAGTTAATGTTGGGCAGTAGAGTTAATAATGGGCAGTAGAGTTAATAATGGGCAGTAGAGTTAATGGGTGAAACTTGAGAAAAGTGGTATAGGTCATTACCAGTATGATTGTTTGACTTTGCTTCGTCTCACTGTTCTACAATACACACATTTATGGTTATTTTTTAAAGTGCTTATCAAGTGAACTGGCAAAGCAGCTGGTGGTTATGATCAGTTCCAGTACCCAGTATGCTGCACGCTGCTGTGTCTGTGGATGAACCTTATTACTTCAAGTATCAAATTAGTTGCAGGCGAAACCACCGAATATAGTACCCGTCATGTATTGCGGTTATGTCTGAAACTTTGATGATCTACATGCTGCTGCCTATATCTACATGCTGCTGCTGCTGCCTATAAATACCAGTTTGTAAACAGGTGTACTGCTCTCCAATGTTGTGTTGATGTTGTGTTGATGTGCCTTAGGAGCTACTAGGAGAAATGGAGAGCAAGGGATCAGAAGTACAAGCACTGCGTGACGAATGCAGCGCAGTGTGTGCTGAGTTCACAGACCATGTGGATTCAGAAGGGTACAGCAATCAGTCGGAACGTGCTCAAGAGAGGTTGCGATTGATGAAAGAGAAGGTGAGGCTAGTTGACTTCATGTATTACAGAAATTATGGACATACGACGCATGCCACAGTTCTGCAGGGGGAAATGCCCTGCGTGCAGAAGTGCAGTGCACAGAGTAACTATGTACAGTCATGAGTCATGACTGAGTCATGACTGTACAGTCATGAGTCATGACTGAGTCATGACTGTACAGTCACTAGAACTCGTGATACTGTAACACGGCTACTACCTAGGCAAACCCTCGTCCAAGTTTTGAAAGCCCCCTCTCTGAATCTCCTGGGTCCCGTGTGCATTGAACAGTGGAAGCAAGAGACAGGAGACAAGAGACTGGAGACAATAGAGAACTGGCCCTGAGTTGTTTTCAGTTATAGTGTCACTCTGTGTCAGGGTAGTTCACTTTTCAAGGTTTCATGACAGGTTTCTAAGCTGTGCTTGGTTTGTTTCCTATGCAGGCTGAAGGATTGCTGAAGGGCGTAGCTGAAAGGGAAGGAGTATGCGAACGCCATCAACAGCTTAACAATCAGCTTGAAGAATTCAATACCTGGCTTCAAACCTTTAAAGCAGAAGACCATGGAGTGATCGGTCTGGAATTGGAGCCAATTGAAGAGGTCTGCGCATTGAGAAAGGTAATGATAGTCGCAATGCGGCATGAGAAGAAACCTTAATTGGCTCTTCGCTGTGCGTCCAGGTGCACGTATAGCGTAGTGCATTTCGTTGTGTGTACCTACAGTGCAGTACAGTGCAGTGCAAGCATACTTGCATAGCGAGGGAAATGCCGCTGACATATCAGTGTCTTTTATTTTCATGTCTTCTCTCGTGCAGACCCAACAGGAGCAGCTCGACGGTAAGCTCAATGAACTAAAACAGTTCCAAGCTTCAGATGCCTTTGCTGATCTTGACGTTGATTCACTGGACGGGGACACCGAAAACGCAATCACCAAGGCGGCTGAGATAGTTGACAAGTACGACGAAGCAGCCAGCGCAGCCAAGCAATCGTTGGACAACGCCAATAGTGCTCTGGCCGTTGCACAAACCTTTGAGGAGCAGTTTGAAGAACTATGTGCTTCGTATAAACCGTTTGAGTTGTCCTTGAAGGCTGCAGAACCCCTAACCGGAGAGATCGAGCATACGCAAGAGCAACTAGAGAAATTCAATGTGAGTTAAAGTGTGAATGAATGCATTCTTCCTTTCTTATCTGGCTCTTTTAACTGTTAGCACAATGCATGTCCAGGAAATGGGTCAGGTAGAGTTTAGTCATAACTTATTGTATATCTAACCGCTGTTGGTTGCAACACTGTGCTGCTGCTGCTGCTGCTGATGTTGTTGATGTTGTTGATGTTGTTGATGTTGTTGATGTTGTTGATGTTGTTGATGTTGTTGATGTTGTTGATGTTGTTGTTGTTGTTGTTGTTGTGGCTACTGCTGCTGATATGACTGATGCTGATGCTCGGTGTTTCAGGCATTGCAAAAGGAAATATCAGACAAGTTGCCACATGTCAATGAAGTCTGCGATGATGGCGACCGACTAAAGCAAATGAGCGAGGTTGATGATGCGGAGAAGGACTCATTCGCTGAGAGTGTCGAGGAGATGCGTAGCCGGTGGGAGAACCTTCTGGCTGAATGCAGTGCTATGTGTGACAAGTATGGCAGTGCAGCAGACAAAACTAGAGAGTTTGTAGATGATCATTTGAACCCCATCTCGGCATGGCTGAATGACAAGGATGACATGCTACGTGATACATTTAGAATCGGAGGTGATGCTACTGTGCTTGCTGATCTGCAAGAGAAATTCGACGTAAGTGATAAGATTTGCACGCCGCCTTGCCATGCTTAATCCATGATGAACAAAGTTCCTGTTATGACTCTCCACTTGTGTTGAATTCGAAGTTCAGTAGGTGTGAATGGTCATGGAAGGTGCTAATGCCATTGCTCAGGGGCCAAGACGTTCAGTGTGAAATGTATTGCCATTGGAATTGTATGCAGTGTGGCAATGAATTCTGCAGGCTGTGTGAAATGTTGTAATGTTCGCGCTGAAAGCGGCTGTGCTATATTGTAAAAAGAACCGGTGATTACTGAGCACCTGTTTGCACATATATGTTGAGGGCGATGTGGTGAGCTGGCTCTCATTCCTTTCAGGCTGAGTTCAATGTGGTCATCACGATTTTCCCTCCCGTTTACTTATTAGTTCTTGAGAAAATGCAAAGCAGTATTTATTTTGCAGTTGGCATTCCTTTCTTATCGTCGTGCTTGTACTTTTTCTGTGGATAATCATGCAGGGCTGATGCTGTACATGGATTGCACTGCGACCATGAGACCTCTCCGGTGGAACATGTTCTAAGCATAGTGTGGCCTGGTGTTCTTTGCGCTCTACTCGTGTTTCTACTTCTCAGTGGTGCATGTGAATTCAGCACTGGTGTTCTTTGTGTTCGGGTCTTCTTTCTTCTTTTCAGAACTTGTCTGAAGAAATTAAGGAGAAAGAAGCCGACTACTTGGCTACTATGCAGTGCGGAGAAAGTCTCATGGCGGACGTTCTCGATGATAAGTCCTTTACCACTGAACAGCTCGAGGAGCTTACCCAGATCTGGAACGACTCCAAGAGAGGACTTGCGACTCAGCTCCAGCGCCTGGCAGATGCCAAGGAGAAGCTAGCCGAGTTTGTTCTTCAGTTGCCAGAGGTAGAAGCAGCACTGGACGAGGCGATGGAAAAGCTGGAAGCCATGGAGGAAGTATCTCATACCGACTTGAGCACAGCAGAAGCCCAAGAGCAAGAAATTTTGGTAAGTTTTATGTGAATCTGTTACTTATTATCCTGTCTCCCCCCCCCCCCGATCCATGCTCTCGTATTTTGGTGAGTGTGTTGAAATTGCGAAACCGGGAAAGTGGGCGAATGAAGTGAAGTGCAACCAGTAATGCATGCCATGACTTAGATAAGAATGCTCGTGGACTAGTTCATTGGCGTGATCAACACATGCGCTTTGGGTCTTCCACTTGTATCACGGGGACAGGAAAAAATGTATCACATTCTTGCTATGGCTCGGCTGGTGTCCTTTCCCGATTCTTCAAAGAATTCCATGACTATTTGGTTATGCAACTGCATTCAAGCATCCTCTCCCGGCAGTTCACTGATGGGGGTCGAAAGTGGAAACGTCTGAAATGTCTCAAGCTGCTTCTGGTACATTGCCCTGAGTAGGCTGTGCAGAGAGTGTGGGCAGAGTGAAGGATAAGCATTTGTGTCCAGGTTGGAATACCAAGGATATGCTCTCGTTGACACAACCAAGTGATTTTACTCTTCATTTATTTACTATTTACGTACTCCATGACATTTGAACAGGCCTTCTGGACAGATGACTTGGAGCCATGCTCAGAGGCTACGAGCAGTTGCCTGGAACTGTGTCAGCAAATGATCGACAGCAGCCCAGCAGACCGGCAAGACGATCTGATCAGCGTCCACGCAGATCTCTCCGACAAGCTGGCCAGTCTTCAGCAAGCATCAAATGCTCGCAAACTGAAGATCAAGGCTGCTCTACTGGAGCTGCGAGGCCTGGCTGACACTATCGAGCTGCTGGAGACCTCACTGGATGATACAGAAAAGGAGTTATCTGAACTGGAGAGATTGAACGAGGAAGAGCAGAATAAGAAGAAGTCTGAGATTGAAAAGCTTCAAAGTCGATTAGCGGTAAGTGTTGTAACTGAAGGTGAATTCTTCCATCAACGTCTAGAGTGTGAGTATCTGCTGGGAATCCTGGGATATGAGTTGAATATTTCTCTGTAGTACAGTTACACAGCTCTCAGAAGCCTTGACCAACTACAAAAAACCCACAATACTTCCCATGTGGATTACACGTAAACATTGTTCAGATGTTGATCACTGCATCTCTCTCTCTCTCTCTCTCTCTCTCTCTCTCTCTCTCTTCCTAGAGTTTGCGTAAAGAGCTCGATGATGTTCGTCCGGAGTTGGAAGCACTGATCAAGGTCAAGCAGCAGCGTGAGCAGGCTGATGCCGAGGCTGCGGCTCAGAGCAACCAAATGCAAACTGTTGGCATAATGGAAACTCAGTTCAATGCACTGATGAAGAGATCCCTTCAGCTTTCGGCGAACTTAGAAGATGCGATGACTGCTGCCATTATGGTTAGTTGGCAATGCCAGTTGCATGTTGTTCTGCGGCTTCTCCATGTGCCATTCCTGTCCTAACTCTATGTACACATAGTATCCAATAGATGGGCAGCCACCTTGGCATGCATAGCTGAAGATGGAGCTGGAAAACGTTGGGATCTTGGAGTCTTGAAAACGGCTGAAAACTTGGTGAACGTGTCTGTGGTGTGCAGACACTGCGAAGAAAGAAAGAATCGTTGACACCCAATTTGATTTCAAGTTGGGTGTGTATCCTTATTGTGGTGTTGATATTGTAAACAATAGCCTGGCTGCAGTTGATACCTCAGCTGTTGTAAACAATAGCCTGGCTGCAGTTCATACCTCAGCTGTTGTAAACAATAGCCTGGCTGCAGTTGATACCTCAGCTGTTGTAAACAATAGCCTGGCTGCAGTTGATACCTCAGCTGTTGTAAACAATAGCCTGGCTGCAGTTGATACCTCAGCTGTTGTAAACAATAGCCTGGCTGCAGTTGATACCTCAGCTGTTGTAAACAATAGCCTGGCTGCAGTTGATACCTCAGCTGTTGTAAACAATAGCCTGGCTGCAGTTGATACCTCAGCTGTTGTAAACAATAGCCTGGCTGCAGTTGATGATACCTCAGCTGGCCGACTCTCCGGTGTGCTGTTTGATTTCTGCTTGTAGTTCGAGGACGAAAATTTCGATGTGGAGGGCTGGCGTGAGAAAGTAAGTGTAACCCCCGAGACGGAATACTGTATACATCTCTCATGTCATCTACTTCAATACAGATAAGCTGGAATAAGCTGTATTGCTGCGACTCGAGTTTCACGGTTTTGCGTGAATTTGTAAGGAAGCTCTGCAAATTTAGGCATTAAGCACTATGCCACAGGCTGACACTGGTGTTCCTGTGCTGTTCAACATGAAGGCATATACCTGTGCTGCTCAACATGAAGGCATATACCTGTGCTGCTCAACATGAAGGCATATACCTGCTCGTACATACTACATGTGCTGGTAGTAGTAGTCGTGACATGTCTGGCTGTGCTTATTGCGAAATGTGAATGTATACTACTCCTACAGTTTGTCGGCTGGCTAGATGAGAACGACATCAACGTCGCAGAAGTATTCCGCTCACTAGATGTGGATGGCAGCGAGGACATTTCCAGGGACGAACTCTTCGAAGGACTAGCTAACTGTGGTAAGAACTTCTACTTTATCTTTGTTTCCTTCACAGCCAGGATGCAAAATGCTGCACATATACCATTGTACATGAGTGTGGTATTTGTCAACAAGGCAAGTGCAATGAGTGTGGTATTTGTCAACAAGGTAAGTGCAGTTGTAGTCTGTTACCTTTTCGCGGGGCCATCGGCAAAGGACAAGTGATAGACAGTTAGTTTCACTTCTCGGTATGAAGTTATCAACTCACCGATGTGCTGCTGGTCATCGTTGCAATGAGCCTGTGCCATGTGTGCACCTATGTGGACATGCGTGTGCCCATCGTTTCCCAATTCTTAAGTATGTGTATGAGTGTGGCGGCCGTGGAGCACTACATCACAATCATGATCTACTATGATCTGTTCTGTTTAGGATTTCCGATGAAGGCAGCGCACATTGACCAAGTGGTTGACCATTTCGACGAAGACAGGAGTGGAGCAATCGACAAGTGGGAATTTCTCATTGGTCTGCGTCCAGAGAGAAGAGTGCAATTCGCAAAGGAAGCAAAGACAGACGATGAGAAAATCAACCATGCCGTAAGTACACAGCAGCGCGACAGCTGGTACACCGGCAGCTTAAGTTAACACACTGCAAAGTATTACAATACTATCGGGCCCTGAAGAACGATGCGCCGAAGAACAAACAGGCTAGGATTTTACCAGGCACAGCGGATACCCGTCTGTACGTGGTGTGGTGGCTCAGCCATGTAGACATTTCTACATGAATAATAAGGACGGCCATGCAGACATTTCTACATGAATAATAAGGACGGCCATGTAGACATTTCTACATGAATAATAAGGACGGCCTAGGCTACAACAGTTCTTTGGAACCAGACAGTACTATGAAAGAAAAAACGTGTCTTCTTGATTTACTGTGTGCCTTGCTGGACTTGGCTCTGGTTTAACAAAGCCAACTTGCACACATGCACGTGTGTGTGTGTGTGTGTGTGTGTGTGTGTGTGTGTGTGTGTGTGTGTGTGTGTGTGTGTGTGTGCGTGTGTGTGTGTGTGCGCGCGCGTGTGCGTGTGTGCCTAACTGGTAGAAACAAGACCATGAGTGTACTATTTGCTGTTACTTACTTGATTCATACCTTTGTGAAAATGATTGCTGCTGGCAGGTGAGAACAGCTGTGTCACGCTGCACTTGCAGTAAGCAATTCCGACTGGACCAGATCAACAACTTCACTTACCGGGTGAGTGATATTGCAATGATATGCAACGGTGTGCACTGATATGCAACGGTGTGCACTGATATGCAACGGTGTGCACTGATATGCAACGGTGTGCACTGATATGCACACTTACAGTGACTTCCTGGTTACTAGCAACCTGTTCATGGTGGTTTAGGGGGATGGTGGGGCATAGATGGTACATGTATCTTTACCCCTTCTGCACCGTGAAGGGGACCGCACCAACTTGTAGTGTTCAGTTCGGTATGTATTACATATTTCTGGACCCTGGGCACAAACTTGGCAGGTATGCTGGCCTGCTGACAAAAAGGCCATGTATGATTGTACCAGACTACAGAGTAAGTGTATTGCTTTTGCAGGGGCGTCGGAAGGAGGTAGAAAGTGGTACGGCTCAACAGTCAGAGGGGGTCGGGGGAAAACCTCCCCCGGGATTTTTTTTTCAAAAAACACTCAAAATACCAGAGGGTCTCCAAAGGTACGAAGTCATGACGCATACATGCCATGCAGTTCCGTAGTCGACAGTCTAGTCAGGTGTTACACGGTGCAGTGACCTGACTGGTGCACCGGTGACGGATCGCGGCTCACGATCACGCGTGGTCATGTACAAATTCGATACCCCCATTTTTTACACCGGATTTGGACGTTCCGCGTGGACCACCTGGAGCCAAAAGTGGTACGGCTCGAGCCGTACCAGTCGTACCGCTTCCGACGCCTTTATTTTGTCAGTTGCATAACCATGGACATCATCAATACGATCGTGATGTGTCTAGTCACCATAGCATGTGGCCAATACAGGCCAGCGGCTGCTGCTGCTGCTGCTGCTGGTGTAGTTATTTTTGCTTTCTCGTCCCAGTTCTTGGTGGGGGTTTTTTAGCGTATGCACTCCCTCTCTCATAACAGCCACCTTCACTTCCTTTCCCCAGGAGACTCCCTTTGATAGGCATCCATTTGACTCTGGAGAATCCTTGAAAATATATAATATCGAATAAATCAACATAATCGTGCTCGATACTGGAGAGAGTGTACCTACTGACTATCTTGTTTTCTCTTCCTACAGTTTGGCGACTCGCAGCTGAAGCGTATGGTACGCATTCTGCGCACTAATGTCATGGTGCGCGTTGGCGGTGGCTGGGAGGATCTGAATGCGTTTCTCAACAAACACGATCCATGCCGCGGTAAGAGTCGCTCAGCAAATGGTTTGTATTATGGTGGCATTCACCAGCAGTCTCTCTTCTCAGCTGTAGTTTGAGATGGTTCTTGGAGCCGGACATCCCTACTTGTCCCAGCATACATGCATACATGTACACATGCACCATACGCCTCTGATCCCACGTTTTCACTAAGCTCACTTGTTGCATGTGAAGAGTTATGCAAAGCGCAACAGTCATATCCATTTCATTCCTTTTCAGATAATGGCCTAAACGAATTCATTATATGTGTGGATTGTATCTAAATCCGTATTTGCGTACCAGTTTCGAAGTGAACTTAGAAGTTGAAGTGGTTCTAGTTTGATCTTGAATATGAAATACTGCCTGAAGGTGCCCCTGGACGTTGTGAATGTGCGGTGCAGAACACCTCAATTTCTCAAACATGGCACGCGTAGCGTTTTTGCATCTAAACTCTCTAGTATAAACTTTACTTTTGTTGCTGCTACTGCTGCTGCTGCTGCCATGGTAAATGTTGTGTGTTAAAACACTGCACAGCTACCGGGAGAACCAACCTAGACCTGAGAAGACTACCCAAGCCGGGACAGGTCAATGATATTCGAGTGAATGTCAAGTCACCAACGTCACGCCATCACCCGGCCAGCAAGTCCGGTACAGCAAGTGCTAGAACGTCTGTGTCTCACGGTACGAAGAGAGAGAGCTCGGCACACAGTCATACTGCGCACAGTCATGCTGCACACAGTCATGCCACACACAGTCATCCTGCACACAGTCCCAGCCGCAAACATGGAATGGTAACGAGATCGCAAGAACCGACGAGCAAGAAAACAAGCACAGACCGCAAGCCTGTCGTGTCCAGTGGCTACGGAATAACTAGAGCTGCCTCTGGTAGGAGCACAACTAAAGGCTTGGCAGCGCCAAAGGATACCACAGATGGTGCCATCCGTAGGACTTCCTACAGTGCAACATCATCATCGTCCTCATCAGCAAGTCGTACGAGCTCCATGAGAAAGACAACATCTGCAAGCAGCCTTCCTGCGGCAAAGAAAACATCCGACATTTCCAGTCCAAGGAAATCCTCTGATGCAACAAGACAATCAACAACAAGTCACCGCAGTGTCAGCAGTAGTGGATACGGAAATGTCAGCAGTAGTGGATACGGTCGCCCCAGCCGCTCGTCTCTAGGCGATGCTTCTAAAGAGATGCATAGGCCCGCAGGAAGATCATCGATCAGTGAAGAGCCTGGGAAATCATCTCCAACTACACGGCCCTCGCGTCTCTCCACCAGTGACCGAAGCAAGACTTCACCTTCAGGTCCTTATTCACCGAAAATCAAGAAATCAAGTACATCAGCTGGATCACCAAAGACAGAGTATCAACCAAGTGCTCTGACCAAACCACGTGCCGGGCCTTACGCTAACCCTACTATCTCCTCTTCTGAGAAGGTAAGGTCCAGATCACCTTCTGTTTCACCATCTACATCGCCGCAGACCCACCGCAAGTCTGAGGAGATCAATCCAGAGTCACGTCTCATGATGCCCACTCAGTCTTCACTGAACAAAACCTCTCCAAAGGTTGGCCGCCGAGCCAAGTCGTCACAATCATCACCACCACTGCCGCCGGCATCGGCATCATCGGCGTCGTCTTCAACATCCCTCTCTCCTGAGAGCAGCGGTGGCACGTTGGAGGTGTCACCCACCTCCAGTGTTATGCAAATTGGCCGAACGGCATCCGGCTCTGGCGGTGATCCTACTAGTTCACCACACTCCTAAGGTTACACCACCATCGAATGTCGTGAGATGCACACGTAGTAGTAATCGCGTCATCATGGTCATGCTGCTGCTAGTAACATAACTGTAACCAGTAAAGATTCTCCTTGTCTAAAGGTACTTAAATAGCTGCTGTACGAGATACCGTTGTTGTCATGGTTGCTATAAGCAACAGCTGATATAGCGGTACGCAGTAGCACCTATCGACATGGCTGATATGCCAAGCAGTCTAGGATATACCGTAACGCCAAGACTTAGATTGATAATGTTATCGGAATTGTGACTGGCCAGTTGATCAATTGAGCTAAGACAATCACAATAATTCTTTCAGAGGCCATCCGAACGTCCTAAGAATAATTACTTGCGACCAAAGAAAAAATCCATTCATGTACGCATGCATGTTGCTGCTACCTGTTGTGTAGAAGAATGAAGTTTAGTATTAATTTTGATGTTGATATCTGGATCTTGTTATCTCTCTCTTCATTTACAATAATAGTTCTGCTGCTCGCGTACTCAAAGGTACCGTATTTGTTTATACATTATTATCTTTTGGAACGGATCACTAAACCCTAGGAAATGACATGAGCATGGCATATAGTAACCAGTTTCCTCAGTCTAAACAAATAAATAAAATAATGCTACATCATGCCAGCTGATTGGGATTGTCATCTGCATGCATATGTGTCCAGGACATTCTAACATTCTAAATACTGTATAGCAGGAAGTTTTCGGACGGAAATATTTTCGGACAAAGCCGAATTTCGACCTTTCGTACGGATTTTCGTACAGTGCATGCTAAATGCACGTGTTTGCAAGCAGTACGCATGTATAGTGTAAATAATTTCACAGAAACAAATTTTAGTACGGAATTAATTTTAGTACAAAGGAGGCTGTGTACGAAATTGTACGAAAATAAATTCCGTCCGAAAATTTCCTGCTATACAGTACTTACTGTCCAAGCTGCTGATACGTTTGGCACCAAACTGAAGCAGCAACCTGATCCATCTTGTCAGCCTGTAAAGTAGTTTTCTGACGGAGCAGTGCACATACCAACAGCGAACTCAGCAGTAGTGATGGACATATCTGCTACAGAGGTTCAGCAGTATGTACACACAGCAGCTGCCTGCTGCGTACGATGACAGGCAATGTGGGAAACGGACTAATGGTAGGCTTACATAGCAACACCGCAATAGTACAGTAGTCTGCATGGTGCTACAAATACAGTGCAGTGTAGTGGTGGCAGCAATTTGTACTTCAGTAAGCAATTCATTCTGGCCCTTCACAGTGCAGCAGGGGTTTTGTACCGTCACCATGGTCACCATTGAACAAATCAATAAGAACAAACAGCAACCTAAAAAGGGCAATTCTCAAAGTTTGCCAACATCTGCTGGCAGTTATTTCCTACTAAGATCACTGACACACACACACACACACACACACACACACACACACACACACACACACGTGCGCACACACACACGTGCGCACACACACACACACATACACTCATCAGCTAGGATAACACACCATCACCACTATCAGACAAGAAAGGAGCACCACAAGATCCCAGAGGACAATTCTTGGTAATCAAAGCGGTCACTGGTGATTCTAAAAGTAAATTAAATGAAATGATCAAGAATACGGTGATGCAGGGGGACATTAATTTCCAAACAAGTCCCCAATCGTCTGCAGCCTAAAATACCTAATGCAGCTGCTACTTGAAAGTACATGACTGCGGCACTGTACCAGTCATCACAATCATAGCAGTATGCAGGGTGGCGACGACAAGGAATTGGAAATCCTTGCTGCATGCTTCCCTGCACCTCTGTTGTGTCAATCAGTCAGTTCTCAGATTGGATTTGTTTCACAATAGCCGGTCATAAATAGCACAGGACCAGTGTTCATAGGCGGTTAATTCAACACAGCATCAGGTCGACGAAAGCAAGGTCACAGCTCAGCATAGAAACTATTCACGGCATAGTATGATGTCATTAATTGATGCGCACATCAACTAATGACAATGTCACCATGATGTCATCATGATGGCATCATACTGCTGGTGGTGCCGTCATCTCTAAAGGGTTTAAAATATATAAGTCTGGGAATACTAGTAGCACAGCAAGTGCCCAATCCCGGCGTCTACTGTTGAAAATACTCATGGTGTCTAAACGTTGTGGCGGTGGGATCCGCTAAGCGCTCCTTGGCAACAACGACATCGTTAGCTATGGCAGCCTTTAGCGCATCTACAGGCAACACACGACGACGACCAAAAAACCTGGTATCATGCCATGTGCGCGTGTGCACCTCGCCCCACTTTCAGATACAGAATGTTGCCAGTGAGTTTCATGTAGTCATTGCATCTATCAATGCAATGAGCCATAGGTAGTATAGGAACAGCAGCCCCTACCTTTGCCATCAAGGGTAAATAAGCTCCAAAGAGTGTGCAACTGGTGGACATATGGGGTGACCGGCCTCCAAAGGCGAAAACTCACATCACAAGTTCCCAGTACGCTTCGTTCTAGGTACAACGTAGGCCAGCAGCATGCGCACAGACCAGACATACATGTATGCCATGGGCATGCTGATCACTCACACACGCTGAGTGGGTTTCTGTCAGGGAGTGCTTATCTTTTTACTACTCCGCTGCTCGCTAAACACAAGCTGAAACGTACAAGGGGAACACTATGCCAAGTGATGTGAGATTTCGCCGTCGGAAGACCCGATAACAAGGGTATATTCGGGGCCTGCTGGAGAGCCGGGTCACGCGCCCGGCTGGGGAACTGCACGACCTGGCTGAACAGATAACACCGGGTCCAGTCTGACCCGGCTGAAAAATGTCTCAAACTGACAATGGATTCCTAAAATACCGGTATTTTACGACTCGCGGACCCCATCTGTTGCAAATCTAGCGCAACCGTACACACTACAGTCTACAAGCGACAGAAACTCGGCTTGGGTCAACTGGGGTCAACTGGTTCGAGTGCGATCTGGCCAGCGGCGAGCAGGAAGTCAGGACATTGAAAGTCGATGGGGCAGGCAGTCAAAAGCGTAACTTTGGCTATAGTTTTTGACACAGATGCAAGTTTTGAGCAGGCTTTTTGGTTGTTTTTCTGCCGGATGATCTGACCCGGCTGGCCTGCATGCGCCAGGTACACTCTGACCGGGCTGTGTTGAATGTCTAGAGCAGGCCCTGATATTATAGTTGCACACTTTTGGAAGCTAACTTACTCTCGCTGGTATGGTTAGACTGGGCGAGAAAAAAGGTATTACGCAACAACCGTTCCCCAAGCAGCAGCTCCAGGCTTCTTCACTGAAGTCCACAGCAACAATAAAGGGCTAAGTAAGGCCACTACGGCCTATCCAGATTTCCTGCTGTTTAGAATCCATGTGCAATAAATAATCACACAAACAAGGCTTTTTTCATGCAAAGAAAAGTCCTCGAAAGAATACAGGCAGATTCCTGTCTACACAAACTTACCTAGTGAAGGGAAATCGGACATATCGCGGACGAATCCAACGATGATTATTCTCAGCTTGGAGTCGTAAAAATCATTCTCAAACTCATGAAGTAAATGAACCTCCTGGACACAAAGACATGGCACGAGTCAGAAGACAGGACAGCAGCCCAATCTAAGCCAGGTTTAGGCCGGGGTACAATTGCGAACAGTGTGCCATCAAGCCGCTAATACTAATTTTAGAGAAACGAAGCCTGGGTGAAGGGCAACACTACTAAACTGATCCAAGTCCAGCCATTCTGAATGGTTTTGTTGTGACAAGAACATGTGCTAAATTCACACACATACCAGAATCAGTAGCATTATTCTCACTCAAACAGGGCCGGTACATCTCACTCACACAGGGCCGGTACATCTCACTCACACAGGGCCGGTACATCTCAATCGAATAGGGCCGATACAGCTGACTGCCACCAGGAATGGCAAAGTGATGACTGACAACTTGGCACGCTGCTGTCACCACTGACACCATGGAAATCAGGGCAGAACAGCTATGCTTTAAACCGTGAAGGCTATGAACAACTTGAAGTAATGATACAATGTAGCACAATTGAGATAATCAGATAATCAGTGATAAGTAACTGACAATCATGATACGCCAGATCCAGGGCTGGAGCTCAGAATATATCACAGCAACCATTGATACTACATTCAAGATGACCGAGCCAGATTGGTGGCTTGTGGGAAAGTCAGACTTTCCCATGCATGTAGTTTTAAGGCGAGTCCACTTGAAAATACATGTACTTGACAAGTAGAACATTTAGATAATATTATGTGAACGTTTTGCGGCGCGAGGGTTCACGTGCAGACTTTTCGCGATAGCCTGTATGCGTCACGCTGCGCTGCTGCAACACACTTTCCAAACAAAGGCGTGGGAACTTCACCAAAAAAACACTCTGCAGCCAATAGAGTCCCAGGCTCTATGTCGACAGGTGAAATTAATTCTCAGGCTCCTGGAAAACGGCTACTCTTGAGATAATGCATCAGAAAGCTATGATGAAAACCTGTGACATCATGATCACATCATATTCTATAGGGCTTGAAAGTGCTACGTCACAGCATAGCAACAATTTCAAAAATTCAAAAACTGGATCCACTTGGATCCAGTTTTTGTATGGATCCAAGCACATTTCAAGCGGTCTTACCCACAGCATGGTGATGTAGCCAGTGAAACTGACTGATTTGGCTACTGGGGGCGGGGTTACAACTGGTGGCGAAATAAACGTCACACCTGCATGCGACATGAGTGGGTTGCTATGCACCCACATACTTGGGCAATAGCAAAGTCACACCTTAGTGGATCCAAAAATAGAAATCTGATGTCAACTTACTACTCCCTGGCCGTTTTGACGTCATCACTTTCAAGCCCTATTATACCATGCAGGTAAAATTATTTTTCATGGGAGGAGAAAATTCGTTTCCGGTCCATCGTCGTGTACGATTTGCTGCCAAGTATCCCTCGAACTACGATGCCTATTTCAGTAGAAGATCATCAAGTAGTGACAAGTACTTGTACCCTACCGAGGTTTGAGAACGGTCTGGCTTGCTTGTGCTGGTGTGGAGCAAGAAACCCAATCGGTTCAATCATTCTCAAAGGGACTATAGTACTGTGTTGTGTACACGCATCTTTGTTTTTTACCTTTGACCTTTTGACAGCCATCGCCAGAGCCGATGATAGCGATGCTACAGCAGAAGCCATAGAAACTTATGCTGGGATTGCACCATTCAACAGCTTGCAAGGCCGAAGGATTGACCGCCACTAACTATTCAGCCTGGTCTACACCGCACAGCTATTTGAAGTGGCGTTTAGGCACGCACGCACGTGCACACACACACACACACACACACACACACACACACACACACACATACACAAAAACGGGAACTCACGTACACACACATGCACAGGCACACAAACAATTCATATATACTGCAGAAATACATATTACGGACAGCTTACCATGCTCCGCTCCTTGTTGTTATAAAAGGGGTTTGTACCAATGCTCATGACCATTTCATGCACTGAACCGTTATCCACACATCCAAAACCATAGTACACTCCCGTGTGTAGTGCCTCCGGGAGGACAGATACTGCAGAACGATCCATATTAGCTGTTACATACACACACACACACACACACACACACGCGCGCGCGTGCGCGCGCGCACACACAGACACACACGCACGCACACACACACATGCATACGCACAGGAGTCAATTGGGTTACTCACTAGTCTAGAGTGAGGGTAACCAGGTAACATGGACGCACTAAACGAGGATTTGCCCTCTTGGGCATTGCTGACAGTGACCACAAGCCAGGGTCCCTTGTTCACGTGTTTCTTAATTATTTAGCTGTACATGTACAAAGTGTTTTCAGTTTTGAAGGTGGCTGGAACAAGAATATAATACAGTACAGCCAGACCTCGCTTATCCGGTCCTCTTTTATCCAGATCCCTCGCCATCCATAAGAAAATTGTTGGTTACCGATTTACAGCATATGCCATGTATCCATACAGTATGTGTGTTCGCTTATCCGGCCGGTTCCATCGCCTATCTGGATATTTTTCTGGAAAACGGATGTGTGCGGCTATGCGAGGTGTGACTGCAAACACCCCCCTTTTGATTTCATCTTTGAGTTGCCCATGCCTTTCAGAACATGATAAGGTTTTGGCGAGGCCACCCCACCGTTTTTGTTGCAATACCACCCCCTCTTTTTCAAGATTGTGTACAATTAGTGTGAAGAGGATTCTTTAAAAAAAGAAAACAAGGTCTATCTGCCAGTCAAGAGCGGGTCACATCAGATATTTTTATAGGCTGCCAGTGAGTGGGACAATAATTTGGGACGCTAAATTTCAAGATAGCTAGTAATATGTGAAACGTAGAGAAATCACGCAGAGCACAGGTATCTGGGTTGGTGTCTATGGCTTCGCGTGTTTTGGGTCCAGATTTCCACGCGGAGATGAGGTTCTCTACGTTGCGGTACACGCAAAGGAAATGCGTACGGATCTGCTGGGTATCATTCAAATGCAGGCAGAAAACTGCAAATTTGGAAGGGGTATTTCCCAGTACTCACTGCAGTGATTTCTTTACGTGAACGTACAGTAGACAAGAACAGGTTTCTTTTACGTCACGGGAACGCGAAGAGTGTTCCTGGGATTCTTCGTGTCGCTTTCCCGTGACATAGCAGAACATCACTATTACCAGAGTACCAATCTCCCACATTGTATCTAGTACATGGATGTCTGACATACAATATCTCTGATATACAATACTGGTCATGTACGGTATTAGATAAACCCTGTTTTGTTGAAACACATGTTGTTGGTGGACGTGAGCATGTTACAAGGCGGAGGACACACTGTGTTCGGAAACAGTGCCCTTACTACGACCATCCACGGTTGGCAGAGCACCGGTCTTGCCACCATTTGAACCGTATGGGTGTTAGCCCCGGTTCTGACCCTCATTATACTAGGGAGTTGTTTGAGTCTTAATGATTTTTTTTGTTACAGTGTAATACTGTTAGTCGTATATTCTTCGCTCGTTCTTGGATGTCTTCTTAATTAAATCATCTTGATACTCGGCCCTTTTAAACTTTGTAGCATTTGTTTTGAATTGTTCTTCTTTCTTTTCTTTTTATACTCTTTTCTTTATTTCTCCAACTTCACATGCACATACAGCTGTATCATACACATTTCATGTGCATTATCATTGACACAGAGTCGTGTACAGTACATGCATATGTATGTACCACAGATTGAGTACCCGCATACTAAATGGGTGACGAGGCACTACTGCACGTCCACGTGCATAAAGCAAGTACATTACAAGTAGTTCACACCAATACACACCAATACACTAAACAAACAAACCTCATTGCACGTACAATATGCAGTTCACCCACACTGGGCCACAGGCAAACACACTCAGCAAACAAACCTGTTGGCATTCCCAGCTGCTTTCCGCCGCGACCAAAGCCTTTCACGACGGTGGCGGTGGCAAAATAGGGGAATGGTGAGTCCATGGTGTGTACAAATGAGCTCTGCGTATCCGGACACTACAGGAACGCCACAAATTTCTGAGAATTCAGACAGTACTATCTTCTGCGTTGCCTTCTCTCACGTCACAAGCCAGAAACTACAAACACAATGGACACTAACAGACAGTGAACCTTTCTTATCTTCTCGAAGGAAAGGAGCAACAACTCATTAGCTGTACGTGAAGTGTAGGTGACTGCAGCATAGAGCAAGCGAAGCTACTGGAATGTAACGTCCGTCTTTCTCTCTCTTGCTCGATGCTTCACTTGCTCCATTCAATGATATGCAGCACTCGCTTTCGTCTCGATCTCTTTCACTTTTCAGAGTTTTGAAAAGCTTAGTTCTGGTATGACGTAACCAGAAGCTGTGGCCGTCACTGGCCGGCCGCGCCGCGCCGCGCGCGGCAGCCGCCATATCGGTTGTCATTGACTACTACATGTCATGGGAGCAGTTCACCTGATCAAAGCATGATCACATGCTGATCGTATGCGTACTCGAGTAACTCGACTTCAAAGAGTGAGTGGCAAAACTGTTGCTGTTTGTTTCACAACACAACAACAGAAGATCTACTCAAAATAAACGCGAAGTCGTGCTCACGATCGAACTACATCGCACTTGCATGTACCTTCATGTTCCAGTTGTTGTAGTATGAACATATCGAGTTGGTGTGGGCGGACTTCTAGTAAGTGAGAGAGAGGCGAACGCTGCCCTGGTCATAAAATGGGGAACTGCTGCACTGGTGGCGAGAGTCACCAAGACCGCCAGGTGAGTGACCAGTTGTGAGGAATAGTGCTGGAAAAAGATAAATTTCCTACCTCGTTCTATGTGGACATCATGGCCTTTGTTGATCTTGTCTTGGCACTACTCAGCCGATCAATGATGAACGCACGGGGTTATTGGGACCTCGGCCCGTCACCTCTGCACCCATTGAGTAAGTGACTACAATACTTGTATTTTGAAATTCGAAATCATGTTCGAATTCCCATACAACGATAAATCATGAATTTCATCACTATCCTTGTTGTATTTTCACTATTGTCTAGTACACAAATATTGAGCCTGGCCTTAGCTTCTGTTCAGTTTGGCGGTTCATATTTGCGTTTTATACAGCAGAGAAAGAGCACATGTTTGCGTTTTGTACATGTTAACATGATCGAGAGTGCATAAACTGTTTATGGACTCTTGATTTTGAACAAGAGTCTTTTTTTAAACAGTCATCAAGCAACAGGCAAGCAAGAAAAATCTGTGAATCTGTGTGGAGGTGGGCGTGTGGCCCTGTGCCTTGTGCTTCCACATTGAACATAAATAAATTCTCTGACATTCAATGAATTTTACATCTTTCTTCCTGGTTGCTGATGCCAAATTATTGCCGGGAGGATCTGGCTGGTTGTAAGGTGTGTGTATGTATGTGTGTGTGTGTGTGTGTGTGTGTGTGTGTGTGTGTGTGTGTGTGTGTGTGTGTGTGTGTGTGTGTGTGTGTGTGTGTGTGTATGCATGGGCTGGTTGTGCAGCACTACAACTGATTATGGTGCAGCGACCAATACTCCATCAATCTCTAAGAATGATGAACAGGCCCAACTGAGTCGTATTCTGCAGGACACCGCTGAGTGAGTTCATTTGTAATACAGCGTGTATCGGTCCTAGTGTGATCATGTAAATGAATATACTGTCTACAAGAATGAACTCTCATATTTTCATAATCATAACATGGGTTCACGTGAACATTTATTCTTACAAGCAATTTTATCGCATAGTAGCATATATCGGTCCTAAGAATGGACTTTGTGTAGCAAAACATGTCAGAATAGCACAACGTGTATCGCCTGTAGTAATAGTATCTGTCCAATGCAGTTTTGCATTTTGGACTACGTACAAACGAAGGATAGCGTGCGCGCAAACCGAATATCTGCCATGATCATTCTGGGGATTTGCATACCCGCAGTGAGTTTCTGTCAGAGAGAGGGCTTTTTTATTACTCTGCTGCTCGCTAAAAACCGGCTGGAAACGTACAACTGCGACACTGCACCACGTGATGTGAGTTACCGTCGGCGTACCCCATAGAAAGAGTATCAAGGAGTTGCACTCTGGGGGGGGGGGGGGGGGGGGGGGGGGGTATATACTCTTGCCGATATCTACTGTACATGAATACAACTTTGAGAAATATTGTACTACTTTGGCTCTTCAATGCTTGCTGATGGAGCTGCAGTTGTGACGTGCATTGCCCTGTACATTGTTGATGCATCCACATGTAATGACCTACACTTTTTTGGCCTTGATATAAAGTAGTATAAAAGGACATGCAGCCATGGATGACATCTTCTTTTTATCCAATTAATTGTCTCTTACATGTGTGTGTGTGTGTGTGTGTGTGTGTGTGTGTGTGTGTGTGTGTGTGTGTGTGTGTGTGTGTGTGTGTGTGTGTGTGTGTGTGTGTGTGTGTGTGTATAAAGTAGTATAAAAGGACCTGCAGCCATGGATGACATCTTCTTTTTATCCAATTATTAGTCTCTTACATGTGTGTGTGATGTGTGTGTGTTGTGTTGTGTATCTGTACCCCATGTCCAGCAATGTCATTGATGTGTCAGCAGTTGAGCCGCATAGCATGGGAGAGCAAGAATATCGTGACCGGCAACGGCATTACAGGTAAGTTAGTTGATGGCTTACTCTGCACTGTTGTCTAGTTTCTCCTCTCTTCGTAAGGATTGCGATGATAGGTGTGACTACAATGTACTACTGTACATGACATTAGCTAATGTCTCTGTTGTATGTCTGCCTGTATGTTATGTGCTGTTTGGTTTGCTCTGCTGTAGCCAAGTAATTAGTTTTCGGTGAGATTGGTGTCTGTGTACAACCACTCCACGCTAGGGTTGTAGTTGTTCAGTTGCAATGGTATAATGTTTGTAACGAGGGCGCTGTTTGCATTGTCTCAAGTCCTGTGGTATTGAAGGCATGTCTGGGTTTGCCTGTCAATGTTTATGTTGCTATCCGAACAGCAATCGCAGACTGGCAGCTAGTACCAGTAACCATGGCCCAAGAAGCACAGCAAGAACAGACTTCCCACCAGGACAGACAGCGCCGGTGGAGGTCCTATCAGCTCCCCCCGTGTCTGTCAGCGATGTACGATTCATGCACGGCCTGACTTCGGCAGTTTCCGATGCACTAGGTAGCGTTGCCGTCAAGTCCACGGAGCCAATTGTGGTCCAGTTTTAATTCCTTTTTTTATTAATGCCGCCCATGTTTTAGTCTTTTACGGATGTTGCAAAAATGCTGAGTCGTTGACTTGTCTTTTGGGTGGCCAGTCCGTGCGAAATCCCTTGTCACTTAGCAAACATCCCATCTGTAGCAGCTGCTTTTTTTCGCAGGTGCACTGCAGTTTTAGTGACGCCATGCGACCTAGGAACTATTCTGCGTTGGTGCTGGTTGCACCAGCTGTGCACTCGCGCAGTGATTGTGTTTAGTTTGGCGGGCATTACTGACGCCCTTTTGAGGTGTGTTCACGCGCACTCTTGTTCAACTTTACCCTGCCTTCATAAAACGATCTTGAGTAATCTCTTCACAACATGTCATGCCGAGTCAAGAATTATTTCAGTTGTATCACAATAATAATTATGTCTGCATGATTTTCATATTTCCCTTTATTTTCTTGTACATTTTAGTAGAAACAGCAGCTAATGCTGCTATCCCAATTTCATATCCAGAACATGCTTACCGCTGTGTGAACGTCATTAAATACGTATCATTGTTTGTGCAGCCAGAGCCTGTCCACAGACTTATTCGACTGAACGTGTTCCTGCCAGACCCTGATCGACCCCGCATGCGCATATGCAGCTTACTACCTGTGGACGGGGTGCATGACGTATTGTCATCACGGCTTACTCGACACCAGATCACATCAACACTGTTGTCAGACAGAACCTATCTTCATCTTACCTATTTGTCAGCATGTTTGAGTTTGACACAATTTAGAAATACCGCCACCAAATACCGGAGATGTCTAGCGAAAATCAGCAAAGAGTAATCGTAACATGGAGGTAAAAAATAATAATAAAAAAAGAACATGGAGTGTTGTTATTGTTTTATACACAACCCTAACAAATATCATACAGTGTCAAAAAAAAACAATAATTACCTCGGCAATGCAGTAGTGAAGTCAACCAGCGCTTTCGTGCAATGACAAGGAGGAGGGGGAGGGGATAAGAGAACAGTAGCTTCAATATAATATATATAGAAAATAGTGTGACTAGGTATGGTGAGTTGACGGGCATGGCAACATGGTGACGAAAGATAGATCTAAACCTTTTCAGAAATAGAATAGAGAGAGAGAGACGGCCTGCAGAGCAGGATGCATAAGCTTGGCTAGACCGATAAAGGCATGAAGACTACAGCTTTTCACAAGTACGGATCCAAAGACATAGTTCACATGATCGATGATACGGCATTTTCGTCACGTTCAAAAATTCTGCTATACCAATCAATCCTCAACAGATGGGAAGATGCCGGCGGAAAAATCAGTTGGCTAGTGATTACTTTAGTCGAGATTTGAGACGAGAAAAGAGACCATTCTTTGGCCTTGGCGCCTCTGGGTCAACTTCAATCAGATCAGGTGTTGGCGAGTCGTCCGGACCGAAAACATTCAGTTCATTGAAAACACCCATGTCAATCAGCTGTTATGGCACAGTGAACAAACAAACAAACACACGTGCACACGCACATACACACACACACACACACACACACACAGAAGTTAGCCTGGTATTACTCCACGCCACGCAAGCAGACATCATGGCAAATCATGCGTCGGATTGAGTCTGCGACTTGGTGGGTTGGGGTTCAAGACATGACTGTACATATACATGAAGATGGGGTGTTCTACCTTGCAGAACACATGAAGAAATTCTGCACAGGTGTTCTACCTTGCAGAGCACATGAAGAAATTCTGCACAGGTGTTCTACCTTGCAGAACACATGAAGAAATTCTGCACAGGTGTTCTACCTTGCAGAACACATGAAGAAATTCTGCACAGGTGTTGTGTGCACAGTTTTTTTCTAAATTCGACTGCGGAACTTCAGAGAATTCAAGCAATCCCTGACGGTTTACATTATTGTAAGGGAAATATTAATTCTCTATGCACTTTCCACACTTTTCTCCATGGAAATGAAAAACAGACCATAGCTATGTCTCGGAAGTAGATCCCAGGAATCACTTTGGCTACAATAGCACAGCAGACCCGGGTTTAGGAAGCTTGTGCTTGCCTCACACCGTGTGGACTGCAGTACAGTGCAGTACAGTGCAATGCCGCATAGCTCTAGAACGGGAGTAAAATATAGACCGTGATCACGTACAAACTGAAATCTGAACTTATAACAATAGTATGGTGAACAGTGCTTTTCCTGGGTGCCTTGGCACCTGTGGAGCGGCACAGCCTGTTGTAGGTGCATAACATACTTTTGGCAACCGACATGACCTTGCTACTACTGGCAAGCAGTACCGAACACAAACTCACCTCATTCTGCCAGGGCTCCGAAACGCAGCCAGTGCAGAACTTGCGGTAAAATTCTGCATCGGAGTCGCCCAGAGTCACACCTCTCGTGGCAGAAAAACTGTCGATTTCCAGCACGTCATGGCAGTACACTGATCGGGGCTGCAAGAAACAGAGAACATGTGCACGTACTGTACTCAATCGATCAGAAGCCCCTCTTGAATAAGTATAGCCCCCCACGCCTACAACGACCGTTTGGAAAAATACAAGCCCCTCTCGAATAGAAGCCCAGACTATTATTCGCAAAGCCTGGGGTGACCAGGTACTGTAGAGGCAAAATATTTTGTCGGTCAATAATTTCGTCCAACTCCAAAGAAAAGGAGTTCGTCCGGTTGAAAATTTCGTCCATGGATCAAAAGAGTGTATAGAAACGCTGGACAAATCGATATTCGTCCTACATTTAATTTAGTCCAGAAAAGACGAAATTAAATTCCAGACGAATATTTCTGCTTATACAGTAGTAACTAACATGTACAGCAAGGTTAAAGTCGTACAAAACACCTCGTGCATTGTACATACAGTACATATCCAGATCGACATAGTGTGTGTCAGCTAACTGGGGTTGAGTTGCTTTGAAAGTTTTTAAAAGGATGCGTGGAATGTACTGGTATGGATTGTAAATAATAAAAGCCCCTCTTGAATAGAAACCTCCTCAAAATTGGCATTGAAAAAAATAGAAGCCCCTGGCTTGTGATCGAGTGAGTATGCCACGGCGTGAAGCGTTCTGATAATAGCCAACTAAACGAATGGTATGCAGTGTGCACACTGATTCTAAAACTAGACAGTTGACACCACATCAACCCTGGTGGACACCACATCAACCCTGGTGGACACAAGGGGTGAACAAAGAGTGGATTTGCTCTTTCATGTGAACCAAGGTTATCGTAAAAGGATCATGGACATCCCAGCACGCTCCCTAGCAGATCTGGACCGCGAGAACTGGTTCCGGTGTGTCAAAGGCCATTCGTAGCTCACAGTCCAGACATGAGAAAAAATAGGATTGGCATGTATTCTGGCAGATGCACAGTCTTCAGCATTAGATTTTAACAAGCAGCTGCTGAAAAGAGCCATCGCCATCCACATTGAAGGTACATTGGAGCCTTGGTCCGGTCCTGCATAAGGCTCTGTATCCCCAAAGACGAATATCTAGTGCGACTACATCTGTTTCAGCCCTAGCACAGACAAAGCGATCACTCTTCAATCATCCACACGGTACCGATCAACAAATGACAATATACTTACATCAGGAACAAACGGTGGCGTGGCTACACCGGCTTCTAAGTGCGGCCAGTTGATCTCACGGAAGAAGGACAAGTCCCGCAACGGGTCAAAGTCAGACAATCGCGTTTCGGGGTTCTTGTCAAGTAACTACATGAGCAACCAGATTCACATACACAAGCGTGCACCATACACATGAGCATATGCATGAGCACACACAGCACGCAAATACCCCCACACACACACACACGCAGAGCACGCAATTCATGAGATCTCCTGCGAGCAAACCAATTCGAAAATCCAGTCAGCAGTGGCATGGAAAGGTGGCCAAGAACCCACAATACAACAGACAATTGGCTAACAATACCACAGCTAGTTGCATACCCGCATGCAGATCTCCTTTGCTTCAGAGGAGAAGTTATCACCATACGGTGGCTCAGTCTCCAACACACGCTTCTCAACTTCTTCTCGAGAAACCTTCTCCTTTGGCTTTCTGAACGGACCCTGCACAAGAGAAAAACAGAACAGCAGTACAGGATATGAGACGTATGTACACATTCACGCCTACATGGCATGACAAAGTTATGCTAGTAACTTAGTATACTAGCTATTACCCATTGGGTCAATATTCCCGTATCTGTTGCAGTACCAGCTTATAGTCTCAACAAGGGATCCTGCACTAGTCATTAATGATCACGTGATGCAATCCCATCTTCCCATAGACTGGGTAAATGTCATGTACATGTAAAGCCAAATTCGGAGTCGCACGGTCTTGTGTGTTGCCACTGGTTAGACAGATTCAACCATATGACTGAGTGTGATACATGACGTCAAAACCCATCATTCGAATATGTACAGGACAAAGGCGGTGGACATGGTTTGTGTACTTCAGATCGGAACTTGCTAGACTAAAATACTTTTCTGATCGCTTGAAACAGAGTGTTATTATACGTCTTGGCAGCCTAGGAGCGCAAACCTGTCCTAGAATATTATTTACGAACCTGGCCAGCCATCATCTCATAGATCACAGCCCCTAGTCCCCACCAATCGGCAGAGAATGTGTAATCTTCATTCTTCACAACCTCTGGAGCTACGGAAGCCAGACAAACGCACACGCACGCACGCACGCACACACACACACACACACACACACACACACACACACACACACATGCACATACGCAAGATCATATGAGTAGAGGGCCACAGTAGAAATGCCCATTTCAAGTGAAAACAAAAACAGTTATTATTATTATTATTATTATTATTATAGGCTTTTCCGCGTTGGCATCGCCAAGCAAGCTTGGCTAGCCTTCGCATAAGCTGCTCCATGACAATGAGACGAAACAATGAATGCATGTATATACGATCTAGGACAGAACCAAACAAAACAGTGCATGGCGAAATTGAAGAATATCAATTCTCACTTGTACGGCTAAAGTTACCCCTTAGGGGCTTCTCAACGCTGACAATAAATTCTATCAACCAAGGATTGATTCGAAAGGGTAAGGTAAACTAATGCAGGTACCCATTGTGTTTGGTGAATTGCCAGTGTATTTCTCTTTCGGTAACTCCAAGCGGAGAGTTGGCTTTGATGATGCAGCTGACACCCTTTCATGGTCCCTCCGCATCCAGTCAATATGGGCGTTTTCTACAAAGGTCTGTGCGCATTCGTGATGCAAATCGTCGGATGTCCGTAAAGATCGTTATGTTTCAGCAGGAGAGACAGACAGACAGACAGACAGACAGACAGACAGACAGACAGAGACAAAGACACAGGGAAACAGCGACAGAAAACCAGAGAGAAACAGACAAAGAAATACACACACACACACACACACAAGTAAAGGGACAGAAACATATGACTTACCCATATAGCCGACTGTTCCAACTCGACCGTGGCTCTTCTTCGAAGGAGACAACACCTCTGCTAAACCAAAATCACTGATGCGCACGTGACCTTGGTCATCGAGAAGGATGTTTTCCGGCTTCATATCTCTGAAAGAGTGACAAATGAAACATGCACACCGCCATTACATTGACAACTGATTTCACTTGTTTGACAGCAACACAACGAGAGACAAGCCAGGGTCAGATGGTCCGGGAGAGAAATCAAAGACCACTTGCCACCTGGTTGAAAATAGTCCACTGATACCAGTTGTGTGCTGTAGTTCTACAGTGACAGACCTCTAAGCACGCAGCCGCAGTGATAGCAGCAGGAAATTGCCTTTGAACCAGATGGGCTGCCTGAAGAAACGAAAATCAGAGCTGATGCACAGCCAAAAACCCTTCACCAGCAGCAGCAACAGCAACGGCCATAGCTGACGATCTACCACCTGGCCTCACCTGTAAATGACACGGGCTCGGTGTAGGTCTCGCAGGCCGCATGCAATCTCTGCGGCGTAGAAGACGGCACGGTCCTCTGGCAGACCGGCTTCCCGGCCCATGTGGTGTATGTGATACTTCAGGTCACCACCATTCATCAGTGTCAGCACTAGACAGAGTGAGTCTTTCGTTTCAAACGCATACGCAAGACTCACCTGAATACAACACGACACAACACGTTGAGTCCACACACATGCATGCATGAACACACACGCATAACGTTACACACACGCACGCACGCACACACGCACACACACACACACACACGTCAGACAAAGAAAGGAATGGAAAAAGAGCTGAGAATGTTGCAACCAGAAGGGGGACTAAACGAACAAAACTTTCCATGGAATGTCGCTTACATAGCAGCGAAAAGTACAGCCATGACAATGCTACAAATAGTTGGAGGAGGAGGAGGAGGAAAAAGAGGTAATAACCCCCATCACGTGTAGGTGGACGACCTGCTAAAGCCTATTTTGCAAA